CCCCACTAACACCTCTTCCAGCAGCAACCTTAGTTTTTCCCAGGAGGTCTCCCATCCAGGTACTGACCAGGCTCACACCTGCTTAGCTTCAGTGGGGCTGCCAGTTGTGAGTTGCAGAGTGAAGGCATCTATCAATGATGCCTTGATAGACTTCTGTCAGGTTTCCATGATGATGTGAGGGCCTGATCACTTTACAATAGATTTATTCTTGGACTATAAATCTAACATCTGACATGAACCCTTACAAATGAATAGGTGTCAGTGGAAGTCACTCATCCGTGCTCTCTCTTTGTCACTCACTCCACCCCTCAGTCTTCCTGTCTCTGTCCCTCACTCTCTATCTCTAAAGCTGACAGAGCTGAAGTATTGCTGCAGTTCCTCCTCAGTGAAATCCAGCTTGATCCTGGCTCCAGGGTAGCACCTCTCGATCAGCTGCTCGAACCCGCGGCACTGCTCTGTCAACTCATCCTGCATGGCTCTCCACACCACCTGCTCAGAGAGAAATCGGCACCGCTCAGACTAAGGTTCACATTCATTATCAAACGTAACCGCACTGGGGTGATAAGAAGGCTCTAGTACTGCCAAAAACACTTCAACAGCTAAAGAAATCAATGCCGACGTACTCGTACTGATCAATACGAGTAAACAGCCAGTAAACAGCCTCAGGAAGAGCCCCTCCAAACTGTCATCCTGCATGGAACACACACTGTCATTACACAGATACATATCTGTTTAATATGTCCTTCTTCACAGAGTTATCAATTTCTCTGCAAGAGAGTGAGTTGAATGCAGTTAAATGCATTCAGAGTGAGTTGAATGCAGCTGAAGGTGTAAAGGAACTAACCACCTGATTTAGCTATCTAGTTCTCTGCAAGAGAGTAAGTTGAATGCATTCAAATGCATTCAGAGAGAGATGAATGCAGCCGAACGACTAGAGGAACTTGCCACCTGTTTGCAGTGCCTGCGAACTGTAAAACATACGATATAACGATAGTAAGAGTCACAAATTCGAAAACACAAGACATTCTCCATTTAATTTACCTATCTGGTATGTCTTAGGAAAGCAAGGGTAAACCTGAGAAGCCTGGCAAAGACAGAGACACAGGCTCGGGGAGGACATGCAAACTCCACACATAAGGCGCTGCAGTCGCAACCCCTTGCAGTGCTCTGCTGGAGTAGTGTACAATGTGCTGCACCTGCAGGAGGCTCTCGTCTTCAGCCAGGTGTCTGCTGACCCGCTTGTACAGCGTCTCGATGGTCTTGCGCACCTCCCGCCCTGGGTGACGCTCTATGACCTTGCGCAGCTCCTGCTTGCTGTACGCCAGCTTGAAACAGACCTCCTCCTCGCGCACGCCGTGGGCCAGGCACGTCCGCACCCCTCCCAGGAACTCCTGAGACGGGGAGGCAGGGAGGGCGAGGGAAAGAGGGATCAGCGCGGCTACGAGGGCCTTACAGAAAAGGAGAAAGGTGAGGCTGAAAGAAAAGGGAAAGAACAGAAGAGGGAAGACCTGCAGTCCTGCAGGGACTAGAGGAAGACAGAGAAGGCAGAGAGAAGGGCAGTAGCTGCAGGCCTCTCTTGAACAGATAGCATACACGGGAGACTTGGCGGAAGAACTGAAAATGAAAAAACCCAACAAGTTCCAACTGCCTTTAAGCTTCAGCACCAACTTATCTTGACGGGAGTACACTGAGTTCAGAGCGCTTTATATCATCTATTTCAAACTTAGGGCCAGGAACAGAAATGCATCTTTGCAATAACGGATATTGTTGAAGTAGATTTCACTGGATCCTTTTAGGAAGTGGCTTTATCCTTGGATCAATTACTTCTAGCATAGAGAGTTGAGGAGTTTACTGCCATATGTACATGTACACTGGAACTCTGATTCACGCTGGTCTCTCAGGACACACACAGTACAACAGACAACACCACACACTGTAGACAGTACATTACAAACATATTAGATAATAAAGACAGGAACAATAAAGATGTTGTGGAGAACAATAAATATGTAGTAGTGAAAAATAAAAACATGGTAGGCCATGCACAACGTGCATAGTGCAGATGTGCTCTGAGTCTGAGGCAGTGCAGTTAGCTATTAAGTGTGCGTACTGCAGTAGGGTAGACGCTGTTTTTAAGTCTAGTGGTCATGCTTTAATAGTGCAGTACTGCTTGCCAAAGCGCAGGGGGGAGGAGAGTTTGTGGCCGGGATGGTTGGGATTCTGAATAATGGATTGGGCTTTTTCCGCAACGGCGGATTGTGCGAATCTCATCGGTTGATGCCACAACTCTTTGTAGTGCCTCTTTGTCACGCAGTGGTATTTCTATTAAACAAGTGAGCAAAATGGGCTGAAAGACTGGCTCTTTCTGTGAGTTTTTTTCCCGATCTTATGTAAGGAAGAATGGAGATATAACAAGAGTTTGCGAGAAGTAGATAAAGATATTATAGAGAGAGAGCTCCTAAGGCAACAATCAGCTTCTCCTACAAACTGCTGCCCACACGCACAGATGCTCACACTTCAAAACACTGATGCGCCTTATACTAAGCATATACTGTAAGTCTTTACACCTGAGTCCCTCACACGCAGTGACTTACAGTGAGTGTGCCAAGCGGCTGCCCCAGGTTCAGAGTGACATACTGCTGCCGGTAGAGGGCGCTCTTCTCTCTGGCCTCTTCGCACAGCGACTCCAGCTCCGGCAGATGCAAGCGGGATATGAAACCGTGTAGCCGGTGGAAGTTCAGCAGCAGCACCACTAGGGGGTGTGTGCGCAAGCTCTGGGTGGACAGGCTCTCCACTGACACCCACAGGAGAGAAAGAGAACGGCCTCAGGAAGCGGCTGTGAAAGTTGTCGTTCTGCACGGAATACACGCTTTTGCTACACTGATACAACATTACAGCCTAACACTCATTACATTTTGAGATTTTTAATACACCTACCAAGTGGTTCAGGAATGCATTTGAGAAAGAGAATTATTACAGATTGTGATTCTACATTTTTAGTGCTCCCAAGGGCAATGCTATTTGCCACCAGTTTCATATAAAACCTTACTGGTAGCTTTTGCCTGTAATGTCTGTAGATTGTCCATGATTTCCCCATGGTTTCACCATGCTCTTTCATTGCATACTTTACCATACTTTACCATGTGTCATCATCTCACCTTTGTTTTACTACACTTTACTCGGCGTCACAAAGATAATAGTAGGAGTATAGTAAGATAATATAAGAGTAAAGTGTACAATGCATGGTCTGATTGACATGCGATTTGAAAAGAGGCATGACTATTCCAGATAGATGACGGAGAAAGTGCATGTGTTCTGTGTATTGTTTAGTTTAGCTGTGCCTCTGTGTCCAGTTCAGCGGTGCTGTGACTGAGAGGGAAGGCGGATACACGCACAGCTCTGGAAGGCAGCAGTAAAGAGCTGCCTGTACGCAGCATCCAGCCCCCAGCGCCGCTCCGAGCCGCGCAGAACGTTCTCCCCTTCTGACACAAACTCCTCCAGTCGGGGCACAAATGGCAGCAGCCCCATCCGAGCCTTCTTGGAAAGCCGCAAGTTTTCAATCTCCTTGCACAGAGCTTCCTGCAAGACCAATATAACCAACATAACAGGTCGGCATTGCTGCAAAAGCCCCATTCCTCCAAACTACTTGAAACACTTTCCATTCTCACCCTTAGTTTGTTCTGTTTTCTTAAAGTTTAAAAAATCAATTGATGAGAGCAGAGCATCCCTCTTTCCTGTGAGTGCCATACGCACTACTTAACTATCAGTGTTTCAGTAATGGGAGAGAGTGGTGATTCTCTACTATGTGGCACGTGTGTGCCGTATAGGGAGTGCTGTATTTGGTGTGCGGTACGACACTCACAGTGTGCCCTTGGAGGCTTTGCTGGCTCAGCTGCAGGGTGCAGAAGAGAAGGGAGCAGTAGAAAGAGGCATGGGGGTTGCGCAGCGTGCTGTGGAGACGCTGGTCAGTTTCCTTCAGCATCCACAGGCAGCTGAGTGGCTCTGTCTTCTCACAGAGGGCGAGCAGAACACTCAGCCGGGGCTCCACACACCCCAGCAGCTCCTGCATGCAATCTAAGCTTCCTGGGCCGTATGATACCAGGGGAGCAGTGTTTGACACTCTTATCCAGCTGCATGGCCTCTTCTTGTGTCCTGCTGGCCTGAAGTCAAAGAAACTCACACAGTGAGATTTGGGAGATTAATGAACTTGATTGCAATGTTTTGTTATATATCCTCAGAATTTACTAAGATCATATACAGGCTGTCAGGTGGATGAGTTCCTGGTCAGGAATAAAGGCATAGCAGGCCTAATATGGTCTTGTACAAGAATTAAGAAAGAAGTAAAAGTGGTGTCAGAGCTATCAAATCAATTATGCCTTCACAGGACATAATACGAGGGATTAAAAAAACATTTCGCAATGAATCAGGATTCGTGATACTCACAATTTAGTCTGGTCAGCCACATTGCTTATGGTTACAGCTGGGTACTGCAGAGAAAAGACAGCAGAACAGAGAGTAAGTCACACAGACAGATGCCAAGAGGCAGCCTCTTATACTCTACAGACTGTGCATACTAACCTGCTGAAGAGTAAGTGAAGCGCTGCAAAACAGAGCAACCCGTCGCATAGTGAATGTCCTTCAGGATTTATACCACAAGATGAGTGAATGACATTAGATACAATCAACCTTTGGGCTAGCAAACAATGCAGAAACCTCCTTTCATGGCTCTGAGAAATTAGTAGGACAGACTAGACTAGACCTGACACCAAACATTTTGCTTTGTGATTTAAGGCTGCTCTGGTGCTATTCAGATGACTAAATTCTCTTAACTTGTAAATCATTGTAGTACACTTAATACAGGGTGAAGACTGCTTTAATCTTCAATACGTTTCTAGACAGTATTTGGTTTGAGTGCAGAGACCCCCACTTCCTGCTCACCTCAGTGCTGAGACTGTGCTTGCTGCCTCTGTCTCCTCTGTTCAGTGCAAAGAAAATGGTGAGGAACTGTTGCTCCGCGATGAGAACAGAACTCAGTTCGCTCAACATCTGCTCAACAACCTGGCCAAGAGAAGAAGAGGGGGGTTACTGAGCATGGCTGGTGGACCTATGCAAGTTATTGTGTGAATGCTGCTGAAATAAAGGACAGTGGCTCTATTCTCACCCTCTTGGGTCTCCACTCTGCACTGGATGATGAAGAACTGGAGTTGGGGGCTCTTTCCATAGACCCCTGGAGCACAGGAATCATACCTGTCACAGGAAACAAACAAAACATTAAGTGTTAATATACATCAAACAGAGGTGTAGGAGAACACTGGTCTGTTATCTATTTGCATCTCACCCAATCATGAAATCAATTTTACAAGCTGCAGTACCTGCAATAGCATACAGTTTGGAAAAGTAGCAGTGCGGTTATACTGCTGCTAACTAGGAGATAAACTGTAATTGTAGACTGAGAAGTATCTGCACTGGGGTATGGATTTCCAAGGGCACAAATTCCTCCTTGACTGCAGCCCTAATAAATTATAGATTGTATTAACACAGCTGTTAAAATAAAGAAACGCAGATAACTGGACAAGCCTGCTATTTGTGTTTGACAGGTACCAGGTGACCTGTGAACAATGCACTTCACACTCAAGGTCTTTGACATGGGGGAGGGAAGGATAATACAGTGTTCTGGTCACTGGAACAAATATTCCTCTTGGATGTCATGCATGAAAACATTGCCAGGCAGCTCTGTGCACAGAAAACAACTGCCTTGAGCCAATATTTCTGAACAGTGTCACTGCCAGCTGGATTGAAAGATATGCAGTTATCCAGGTTGCAGTCAGGAGTAAATTGAAAACAGCTCTTGTTTTAAATAAAAAATACATAGGAGTGCAAGGCTAAAATAGAGACATTTTTCAAACCCATCTATTCAGAAATTGCTAGATTGGGTTTAAAAGGAAACTTAGGAAGCATGAAGAATTTAATTTATCTTTTGGCACTCTATTAACAAGTCTTTCTATTGGATTCCAAAGAAATCCAATTTATTTTCAGTGACCCCTACAGAAGTGTGTATGTTTGAATGAGTAGTTCTCCTGTGTGAAACTCTGAACAGCACAGTCACATAAAGGAGAGAGGACCTGCAGGCAAACAAATCTTTTCCTTTCAGTGTGTAAGAAAACAAAGATTAAATAAATTAGGTTAGCCAGGAGGTCAAAGACAGGTTGGCGATGTCAAGAGTGAATAACACAAGCAGTAAAGAAAATTCATTTTACCACCATGGTGAACTTATTTTCCAACGTGAATATATACTGTACTGTACATGTGGCTGGACTCAAATTTAGTGAAACCATCAGACATATTAAAACACCAGCTTTCAGATTCACACTCTAGAGCCCCTCTCACCAAATCTCTTTGTCTCCTTGACTCCAGACACCTTGAATTTGGCTGCGTCAAAAAGGTCCTTCATTTGTCTATCATAAAGCTTTCCAATAATGTCAGTATACACCTGGAATGAAGATCAATATATGTTTTTATTTTTAGCCTCTGTGCAATCAAAGGATAAAGTTAAACATTCAACGAGAATCTTTGGTTTAAAAGTGTAAATCAGACCCGATTTAAAGAGGCAGGGCAGCTTTCTCCTGTATTAAAAAAGGGGACAGGCACAACATTCTCTAGCTGTTGGGAAAAATCTTTTTCCTCCACAGCAATTGTAGGCATAAACAGCTCCAGTTCTGCAGACTTTGTAGCTATCTTTAAATCTTGACTAAATAAGCCAACAAGTGGCTGAGTTAGATTACTGAGATCTTGGCTGTAATAAAAAGCAGAAGACCAGAACCACAATTGGAACATCTCCTGATCGACACCGCACCTCTGCACAGTAGACATCACACTGCCACACAGCTTCATCACCAGATGGCAGTTTTTCTCTTATATCTGACAAGTTCTGGCACTACAGAAACAACAACTAACAACAGTATTATTTTAGATTCAATCTGTCGTGACGCTGTGCTCCAAAAAGGATGATTATTAAAATGCTATTTGTTTTAAAGCCTTATTTATGGTAACAAGATTTCCATTTTTTGACTAACAAATGAGTCTCTTCACAATTGCGCAAACAACAAAACCAACTAAAGAGTGTTGTTTAATATGTGACTGTACGTCCAATCATAAGTATTATAACAGTGTCAATGCGCACTTATAGTACAATTGCCTAGGAATGTAAAGAGCTAAAAGCAAACCTACTGTAATTTTATGGTCTATGAAAATGACAGGATTCTTATTACGGCTCTGTCACACTGAATGAAAAGGTTGACACAACACTGAAGTATTTATTTCTGTACTGAAATTGCTGTTGCAACAGTTATTCAGAAAGTTGTAACAATTACTCCTGCAAGAGTTGCAAAACATTGCAATGCTCTGGCTTTTCTCTTTCTGATACTTCCAGCAGTAGCTTTCTACTCTGAATACCGTAGATGCAGTCTAGATACAGATAGCTCTGACCTTCTGCAGGTGCTGAAAGGCAGTAGGGTTGGTCTCTCTTAACCAGTCCATCAGTGGTGCATACTGTGTCAGCTGCTGGTGAAAATCTGTGAGCTTTGGTAGAACCAGCCTGTCTCCGTCCACTGCAGCAGCTCCAGTATTTGCCACATCCTGCAAACAAGACCCACACCACTGCTGTACACACTCAAGCAAAGGCCTTTTGAACAGCAATCTCGGCAAGCTGTGACAATGAACACTGGCAAACACATCTAATCTTTACAGCAGAATAATTCATTTTCAGTTTTAAGGCACCTCCTGATAGATGGTATACGCAAGCATTAAAAATAAAAAAATTGTCAATGCAATAATCATAAGATCACACACCACACCAATCAGAATAATATCTGCTCTGCTAAGCATTGACATGAGGACCTGATGTTTGGGCTTCAGTTTACAATATTATTTTGAGTGGAACTCAATATTTTTTCACTGCGGTAAAGCTATAAATAAAATATATTGGATTCAGATGAAGAACATATTGTTTTAAATCTTGTTTTTCTGTCTCCCCCAGCAGCTGTACAGGGCTATCTGGCCCTGCATGGAGTGGCCTTTACCTGTTGGACAATGAGGGCGTTGATGTACAAGGAGCTGCGCTGCTCAAAGATCTGACGCAGACTCTCAAACTTGATCAGCTGCTCTGCCACGGCATGCAGTTTGCGCTGCCCTGCAACACAAAGCTAGGAAACCTGAGCACAGTGCTTCACTGACACTGTCACAGCGCCCACTGGACTCCAGGACAAAGCACGATACAGTTCTGCTCCACAGTAATGAGCATTCTGCTACATTTTATCACAGTATACTTACACCCCAAATAGAAATTCTGTTCAGGTTTCTGTATGTGCGCATATCTGTGTACTTCTGTAAGGCCTTTTATAATGTTTTTATATTTTTTATGCCATCAAATATTTATGTGATTGGGTCTGCTACATTATTTGGCTGGTGTTTTGTTACAATAGTTATCACTTATCATGTCACTGTCACAGTGTTTGAGAGTGGTGAGAACTGGGGCAACTCACTACACACAGGACTAAAACTAAACTGCAGACAAGCTTTATTCTGAGCTTCTCATCAATCTATTGATAGTGCGAAGAGCTTCCAAAAAATTAAATTCAATGAAGATAAAATGCTTGTGCTTGAGAAATACAGAACAAAAATACTTGGGGAGCCAAGAAAAAAATATTGGTGGGGAAGATGGCATAAATAGTCAAGCTCACAGGCAAAGAAATTCTCCTTCATGATATTGCAAAATAATCCATTCAAACTTCCTAAAATTCCTGTAAGCCTTGCCAATGCTTCTGTAGGCTATTCAGCAAAAGAGAAAGGGCAAATATTTGAAAAAAAAAACAATTAGTGTGGATACTTGAAGCACAGAGTTTGGATGAAACCCAAGCCTTTGAAGCCCGGCTTTTATTTCAACACAACACCCCCACAAGGGAACGTCAGATACAGCACTCTTTCTGCTTGTGAAATTCTGTCAGGGTTAATACCCTGACCTATTGTCTTTTTCATGATTCATAAGCGATTCTGAGCAGTGACTCTAAAGCAGGAACATTCCTGGAGACAAAAATAAGAAGAAGAAAGAAAAAAAGGACTGCTGGCACCAGTGGCCAGCAAAGAGGTCAGGCTTCCCCTGGAGTTTATACTTCTGACAGCATGCACGCATTGAGAGGAGGCTGCAGGGGATGTGCCTTTGGAGGCCTGCGGAAAAGAAGGTGTGTATCACCCGCCCTCAGCAGGCAGAAGCACAAGGGGCACAGGGTCACACCCACACCTCTCTGCGGGGACTCAGGTGAATACTCAACCTCTGCATTGACTTCTGTGGGAAAGTTTAAATTTGGCATTCACATTAATCCTCGCTGTCAGCAATGAGCTGCCAGTAAGGATCAGTGCAACCCTTTAGTTCTCTTTAAGGCTGCTGGAGAGTATACACTGAGGACTGTGCTGAGTAACCACACACATTCTTGATGGTTTTTAAACTTTTTAACTAATCTTTTTTTTTCTTGTAGAAAATCATTACAGGCAGAAATTAGCATTGCACAAAGTAGAACAAAAAATGTGGTAATGACCTATAGGTTTAGCCACTGAAGAACTTGAAATTCTTTGGTAGGGACGTTTCTCCAAATAAAAAAAAACAACTAAATTTCTATTTAGTATATAGAAATATATAATACTAGAAGATACTTCTAGTAAAAATACTAGAAGACCGGGCAATGAAGTGGACGCACGGGGTCCGTACCTGGGGTCAGCGGTGTGTTGGCACAGTTGGTCAGGGCTCGAACCGCAGCAACACATGCCTTCACATCCCGCTCCTTCCCAAGATCCCCTTCACTCAGAACCCAGACATGCTCCTCGCTTAGAGTCAGGCTGTCCTGGAGCACAGACCGCCAGGGAACACCAGTTAAACACATATTTCTACAACATATTACAGCACTCACATTCTCGTTACAACACATAACAACAATTCTCCCACAGCTAGCCCCCAATAAATGATCCCTACTTCTGCGAAGCAGGGAGGCCATGTCAGCTGTTTAAATGAATCACGACAGGGTACTACGGGTCAGGATTCGTGTGGTTTTTCCGGCAAGTTCTGCCAAACTTAGTCAAGCACTTCAACAGGGGAAAGACAGGAGAGGAGGACAGTAAATGTAAAGTCACTGTGGAAAGTTACCAGACACTTAACACAAATAACAAACTGACAAATGGAAACGGGAAAAAGGCAAAATATAATAAGACCAAAGGAAATATGATGCATTTTATTGTTCTCCATTGATTTATCCCCTCTTAATAATCTGTCTGGTGATCCTAAGGCTACCCATGAATACAACAGGCTGTTCCGGAAAGCACAGGGATGTTTTTCCTGTAAGCATGTTGAACTGCTGGCTCTTAAAATATCTTTTCAAATTTATCAATCTGTACTAACAGGCTGCCCTGTGGGGATTAGTCTGATTTGCCTTTCAGCACCAGTGTCCCTGATCATTCGTATTTTGTATTATGCCAATTGAAAAAATAGGTCCGATGTCATGAATCTCCACTGAATTGAGCAATGTGGAAAATGCTGTTCCAGCCTCAGGTTTAGTGCTGTAGATTTTGCGAAGGAGTGGAGAGAGTGGGTGCTGCTAGAGACCCTGGGGAGGGGAGAGTTGTTCATTCGTCTTCCCATGGTACTACACGCTGGCCAGACTATTACAAACCCAATCAACAACATGTTGGGCCTATTGAGAGGAGCAAGAATAATATGAAGAGGGTGTGGCACGTCTTTTATATTTATAGGTTTTGCAGCTCAGTGTCATTCTTTTTAACCGCTGAAGCTGTAATAAGGGTAACGGTGTGACAAACCTAAATACAGATCCAAGCCTCTCAATCAGTTTGTAAAAGGGTTGAGATCTAGGGCAGTCCAGTGACTCTGTGGCTTAGGATCTGCCCCTGTGGCTAGAAGGTTTCCGGTTCAAATCCTGCGGCTGGCAGAGGGATCCTACTCTGTTGGGCTCCTGAGCAAGGCCCTTAACTCTGTACAATGGCTGACACTGTGCTCTGACCCCAAGCTTCTCTCCCTGTCTGTGTGTCTTTGTGTCTCATGGAGAGCAAGCTGGGGTATGTGAAAAGACAAATTCCTAATGCAAGAAATTGTATATGGCTAATAAAGTGACCTTATCTGAGAATTATTCTAGCCAGGGAAGGTGATGTAACTCTGACTCCAGCTCGTTAGGTCCAGCCACTCGTTGCCTGTCACTGAGAGAGCCCATTCATTTTCCTTGGGGATCCCAATACTTCTTGCCAGTGGGTGCTTATTTAGTGTGGGGGCCGTGCAGCGGGGTCCTCACCACCAGGTAGGAAAGCTCGGCGTCCAGCAGGCCGTGGTTGCGGTCGATGCGCTGCAGCCAGGCATTGCGCGTGTGGATGCTGTCCATCTGCTGCTGCACGGTGCGCAGCAGTGAGTCGTGGTGGCTCAGCGACTGCTCGATTCGGGCCACCTCCTCCAGCCCCACCTCAAGCAGCTGCACCAGGCTGCCCACTTGCCGCTCGGAGTCCAGCAAGGCCAGCAGGTTCTCCTGGAGGGGAAAACGTGGGTGTCCTCTATTTCGCCGTATAAAGCAAAACACAGCACATTCTGCATTACATGGTGGAAATTACAATTTATTATTATGACCTGGTTTGTTTTTCTTGCTGGTCGCAGTGGTTAAAAAAGGTAAACAAATAATGAAGAATATGAGGAAGAAAAAACTTGTGGCTGGATGTGTAGCTTGTCTCAGCCTCGCTCTTAACAGTTTTGCTGTGCGGGAAAGTGAAAGGAAAAACAGGCATCAGCGAATCCCTTGATACAGCACCTTTAACACATTAAGGATGTACAGGAGGAAGCTATATGGAGCTTCTTGTCTCAACTACATTTCCCAGAAGGCTATATGGAATGATCTACCAACCATCCTCAATGTTCTGGTGACTGTAAATAAAGCAATAAAATCTGTCTTACTGTACATTACAGCTGCCTCTGTATGTATGTCTGGGATCCAAGAAGTCCCACAAGTGCTATTCATTTCCTACTCATTTCACAGTGCACACTGTGTACTGCACATTATTTCCTACAATTTCAAATTTGCTTATTAACAGTCCTGACTATTTGTTACAATAGCCTCTGAAGATCTTTTTAGATTATCATGTGTGGAGGTGAGGCTCCCTTCACAGCATTGAAGCCTTCATGGCTCAAAGCGATACTCCCTGTGAAAACAGACATTTGCATACAACTACACACACATTTATTTCAGGAATGACATGCCTTCATACGCTGTATAGTACAAGTATACTTCACGACAGTTTTATATGTAATTTAATCACGTGGTTCATTTCTGAAATGTTGAATTGGAAAGCATATTCCTGCAGACTGCTGTGATTATTGATTAAATTCATTTCGCACAGCATGACCGACAGCAGTCAGTAAGCTTGGACTGCACACTTAATCCATAGAGCATGATTTCCTCCAGCTATAGAACAGGGGGCCAAAGTATGCAGAAGCTTCACAAATTAAGGCATGCCTCTAAGCAACAGCTATGGTATAGGGCTGTGTTGCACGGTCTCTGTACTGCACAGGCAGACTGGCTCCCTCAGGAAGCTGTGCTTGCACTGTTCACAGAGTATAAAAATATGCTTGTTCCCCAGATAGAACCAGCAGTATGTTATCAATTTTTAATCATTTTGCATGCCTATAAACCAGGAGGATGAGACACAGAGGAAGAAGCACACAGCCTGGCTTGTGTAGGTATCATCCTGACAGAGTGGCTATTCCTGGAGGTCAAAGGGGACATGGCAGGCAGAAAAAAGCACCGAGCTCTTGCATCGTGAAGAGATTTTAACCACACAGACACTTAATCCTGAACAGTTCTCAGCACCAAACCAACTGAAGGGTGTTGTTTAATATGTGACTGTACGTCCAATCATAAGTATTATAACAGTGTCAATGCGCACTTATAGTACAATTGTCTAAGACCCCCAATGCAAAGAGCTAAAAGCAAACCTACTGTGATTTTATGGTCTACGAAAAAGACAGGATTCTTATTACTGCTCTGTCACACTGAGTGAAAAGGTTGACACAACACTGAAGTATTTATTTCTGTACAGTCAATTAATTATTTCTGTCAATTAAGATCAGAACATGAGAAAGGTAAAGAATGAAAGAAGACAACTTGACCCTTCATGCTAATTTGGTCCTCTATTGTCCATTAGTCAGTGTCTGGTAACAGACCAGACTAAAATGAAATTCCCTTGAAACACCCCTGGAAAAGGACAGTTTGGAGTAGTCAATGTAACCGAACCTTGCGTGTTTTTGTGGGGAAGAGGGAGAAAATGAAGACAGATGGCCCAAGCTGGAAACTGCCTATAAAATCGTGAGGCAGTAGTGCTAACAACCATGCCCTCATGTCACATTGCCTGCCTCTTCTTTCACGTTATTACAGCTCCCAATGCTCTTTCACTGTCGGTCACTGCTGTCTCGGTATCCTCCGCTCCACTGTCCTCACCTTATCTAGGGCCTGTAGGTTAGCATGCAGTGTTTGTGTGAAGGCCTTGGCATTGGACACAGCCAGCTCACTCTGCTCCATCAGGTACTGGATATCAGCAGCCTCCCGTGCTGTCAGCTCCTGGTACCCGTCCTCCTCCTCCTCAACCTGCGAGCTCACTGCCCTGCCCTGCTGCCATGGCAACACCTCTGCAAGGGAGGGACTCGTTGATTAGAGGAAGAGAGACCCACAGATCTCTGTGCATAAACAAACACATACTGTATTCATATTGCATGAACTCCCTCACTGTAGAACGTGCACACAGCTAGGTGAAGCATTCTTCTCTATTCACAGGAGAATAATTTATCTTAGGATGGATCTGCAGTGTGTATAATGAATCACAAGACTGCAACGTGCACAAACAGTCCACTGGTGGATTTTTAAATCAGACAGGGAATAACTCGTACTGAGAAGGAATGCAAATACTTCTTATTTTAAAAACAACAATGAACAATATCTGAACTATGCCCCGCCACCACACACAAACACACGCAGTTTACATCACATTTATCTTAGACAAGTACAATTTAAATCTAATGAAGTTCATTTATAATTTCGCTTCCACATTGAGGTTCGTACAGGCTGTGAGTGGGAGATATATCATCTCTTATAGCTGACTGTCATATACCATCTGCCAGGGTCAGAGAGGAGGCCGGAGATTGTGGAGGAACAGCACCTCCACATGTAGACAGAATGCACACTAATGACTAACGCGGTGTTGTTGTTGTTGTTGTTCCCAGAGGTATAAGTAGGAGGTTGGGGGATCCTGCAGATTGTGAGACTGCTTTGGGAACTGAATACTTAATTTCTCATTCTGCATGTTCTTAAGTAAAAGAATGAAAAAAAACAAACAAACAAACAAACAAAACAAACAAATGCAAATTAATTCAGAAATGCTGTCTCTTCTCCTATTAGATCAGTATCAGTCATGCATTTCCATATCAGGCTAGTAATGGGGCTCTCTTTCTTTTTATAAAAAAAAACTTACAGAGTTGGGCAAGAGGAAAAAAAGGCCCATATGGATTTGAGAAGTATTTTAGCTATGGGGCAGAGTGTGGGAGACAAGGCAGAGGCTCAAGATGTCAACAGGAAAAAGTAAAACAGATTTTTAAGAAGTCGTCTGATAGATACGCTGTCCATTATCAGTAGCTCAGGACTTCCACCTTTAAGCTTGCAATACCTGAAAAAAAATTTTACAGACCAACAAGCTGTTAAGGAAACTCATCTCAGTAAACACTGGGTGATCTTTTACTTTATGAGACTAACATTCCCAGGCTTGAGCCAGCGAACGGTGTCTCTGAGCAGAAATCCAGCTATATACTGACAAACCAATTGAAAAGCCTTCTCACACACAAGCTGCAGTCAAGCCTGTTTTCCGCTGTGTTGCAGCAGCAGCTCCACCTGTTTGTGCTTCTTGCTGTTTAGCCTCCCCTGGGACCTATTCTGTGTAAATGAAGCTCTAAAGGTTACCATCGATTCTATACGTGTGCTGAAAAAATAATTTACAGGACGTAAATACAGGTTGTCATTGATATTGACTTCTTGCTGGTTAAAAGTAAAAACGGTCTCGATGTTCAAATTAATTTTTTCTTTTAATTTTGGATTTCTACTTCCATTGAGGTGTGCTGCTGTTAAGTAAATCTCTGGCTTCAGAGCACTGTGTCTTTCTGTCTTTGCCTCTAACACAGCAAGTTCTGGGCTGAGGTTTGTGGTATTCTGCTGTCAACAGGCTCCAGCACATTAGTATGTGGACTTTATAAAACATTGTTCGATCAGATGTAAGTGTTTTCAGGTAAAATAATTTACATATATAATTAAGCTAAATATACAGTACACTATAATAGCATAGGAGTAGTGCAGTTTGCAGCTGGATTCTCAGTGTGCTTTAACTTGATTCATTTACTTGTGACTGTTGATTCAGCCCTCTTAATCTATACTCCTGTCAATCTTCTCCCTATTCAGGTCTTTGTGACCTCTGTTGTTCACATAATTCTGAGATCTTGATTATCCGAAACCCATATTTACTGATTATATTTTCTAATTAGACAGTTTTTAATTCTTTCCAGCTCTGCAAATGTGAAAGATTTCAAATATACTGAAGCATAAAAAATGCAACAGATGCTGTTGGCTATAATACTCACTTATTGAGTTTTCATGCCTCTCAGTACTGTTTATACATTTTTTATATAACTCAAAAACTGCAACTATTTAGGTGCAGAAAACAATTAAATTAATGATTGCATCAGTTCATTTAAGATCAGCTGGAATTAAAACTAATAAAAATTAGGTTTATAAAGGCAAAAGTTATAAAGTGAAAAATAAAGGCAGAAGATGTTTCAGACCATTCATAAATTCTGTCTAAGCAAGATCTGATGCCTAGTGCCTTTCTCATAGCCCTTAAGATCAGGATATTACAGTGCATACAGATCATTCACATATACAGTACCATAATTCAATCAATTGTTGAATCAGAGAACCAAAGACATGTAACAAAATGCATTCCCCTCATATTAAGGACAATTATGTCTCTGAATGCTGTATTATTGCTGGAGGTATGGTCATACAAGACCAGCTGCTATGGTGAAAATGTAAGTAGTCACTTGCTTGGCCTTGGTTAATTGCAGCTGGCTACGGGCATTAGTTTCCATATCTGTTCATATGTCATCATCTTCATCTTTTTTCAGAATAAGTGTTTGTTTAGTTATGCTGGTGTTACTAGACTATAGCTGCAAATGAATAGCAATAGTTACAATGACTGTATTTCATATGACGTCCCTGACAAGAAATGATTCACTCTTGCTAACATTTTTTGCAAATACCTTCTAGGATAGAGGGGCTAATGTTGATAAACTTGACTTTGTCTTGCAGGTAGCGCTGGTTGATCTTCCATAAGCAAGAGACGAAGGCAGTTTTCTCCCCAGAGCTGCTTGATACCCATTTATATACCTTGTCCAGGTGCAGGTGGAACTCTGCTGTCTCCTGTCCATCAGGGGGAAATTAAAAACTGCAGGTTAAAGGTTTTGCCAACTCATCACTAACTCTCCCAAACCATCTCTGCTACATTGCACCTAGGCATCGGGCAAATTAATCTACAGTAGCATGTGATGCAATGCCATATATTGCACACAGGACGCACAAGCATTCATTGACTCACACATACAGTATAAAGGACACTGATTAACCCAGACTGCATCTCTTTGGAAAGTGGGAGGAAACAGAAGCACCTACAGAAATCCCAAGCAGAAAAACATATAAACTCCACAAAGAAGGCACTCTAGTCTGGAATTAAATCCAGAACCCAAGAGCTGGGAAGCAGCAGCAAAATCACTATGTCATTATGCTGCTTGCATTCAATCAAATTAAAGTCTATTAAGATATCCATTATACAGTATACTGTAATTTAATTGTAAGCATTGCATTCCGTACAGATTCTATGGGCTGCAAACATCTGAAAGGCAGAGAGAATGACAAAATGTACTTAAAGAGGACAGGGTTAGAAATCACGTCAAAAAACATCAATTCAAAGTAACTTTCATCTATTGCAAAGATAGGCAACTCCAGTCCATAAGGGATGGATTCCTGCAGCTTTTACAAGCAGATTTTGATTGGCACCTAATCAAGACAATCTTCTTGTTAAATTAATTAACTCAAACAATTGGAATGAAATGCCAGAACACCCTGTAGTCCTCAAGATCTGGGGTTTCCTGTCCCTGGTCTATAGCGATACCCTGTATTAAAAATATCTTCCCCTCCTCAAAAAATAAACACTGAATTAATTTTCTTTAAATAGTCTTGTTTGCAACCAGTCCCAAACCTGAAGATGAGGAAAATCATTTTTTTTAATCTAGCTCTTTTTTCATTTTCATAAGATAAAATATTCAGCATAGGGGAGAATTATTCCTAGTTGTGGAGTGATTACTTTTTTTTCTGTATATTATATATTTTTTTAAATTCCTTTAAATCAAAGGAATTTGGACCAGATACATCAGTGAAAGATCATGCCAGGGCAGCAACAGCATGATGCCATTGTAGTTGAAATTCACTTTCAACAGCACATTTAAAGGAAGTTGTATACGTTTGTTTGAGATTTTACGGTTTCCACTGCATAGCCCTTTGCTACTCACAATATAGAGTGGTGCCCAAAAGGTGTGCCCATTGGACACATATCCAATGGATTTTAAAATAGATCTTAATGCAATCTCTCAAAAAAGACCAATTAAATAATCATGGTAAGGTTCTGTAAGAAACCTTGCCATGTGAGTAAGAAATGTGACACTGTCAAACTGAAAACAGTGCTAAATAACTATCAGGAATGACCTCCCTGTACACAGACTTATCCTTGTTAACACAATCTCTGGAGAGATTGATATGAGATGTTATGCCACTCTTCCTGAACAACAGCAACCAGTTGGCAGAGGTTAGCCATTCCTGGTTGTCTCCTGTTGATAGCATTAGCAAATTAGTCCCATAGATGTTCGATGGAACTCCAGCATGGAGAAACGGACAAGGCAGGTTTTTGTCAAAGTACTGCTGAGTGGTGAAGTAGCCCACGTTTTCCTCTAGAGGAATTCTTTTGTTAAAGGAGATTCCTCTTCATAACTTTGCACTTCAGCTGGCTTGAACAGCCCAACACTCAGCACAATGCCCATCATAATGTCTCTGAACACATTATCTTCTGTCAGAAGCGTTAAGGGCACAACAGCGTTCACTAGTGAATAAAACACTCAAACACTCACTCTGTCACTATTTTAGTTTTCTAGTTCACAGAAGATGCTGACTTTGAGAGGTCAACATTAGTGTTAAGTGCCCTGCAAGCATGCACTGTAATATCATTTTTATGCAGACAGCAATCTATAGTTATTTTGATGAAGAGTGAATAGTATCTTCTTGGAATTTCCTGTACTGTAGCCACTGAAATGTTGGGTCAGTGTGGTCTCATGACATGTCCTGTCCATGACATGAGCCTCTTTTCAGTTTCCTGGTGTCTCTGGACTCTTTTGCTGATTGCTGAATCAAATCTCAGTCTCCAGGCAAAGTCTTATACAGACCAGCTGCCTTCAAACAATCATGCGCAATCTTCTAAGCAGGGCAAGGTTGTATCTTTTGCTATTCTTTCAATAATTAAAACAAATTATTTTTGAATGACTGTTTATCCAGATTAATGTAACCTTGGCCATTGTACCTCAATTCACAGACAATGAACATCTGGCACTTGAGCTAAGTGAATTTTTAAAAATGTAAACAATATTATGTCTAATGAGAAATTGATTTAAAATTGTGGCATTTTCCTTGTGCGTCAGTTTATCCAGAATGGAGATAGGAAGAACAGCGAATTAATTGTCCAATGCCAAAAAAGAAGAAATGACATGATTATAAATGATTTGAAATGATAAGGTTCGATAACACATTTGGTGGACAAACAGTGCACTCTCACATGCTATGTGCAACTAAAGCTGTTCCACAGCGACTCACTGAAATTAATGGAATTTGCTGTTTAACACCAAGAAAGACACCAAGTGTACAAGAGGGAACCTTAATTTGTAGGCTGGTGTTGTAAACTAATGAAGAATTTAAAAGGTATTTAAAAGATTTTACGTAAATACATTTCTGTTGGGTTTTTTTTCTATAAACATCTGATTATGAACATTATGTCATGCACCTGAATCTATGCGCAGTACTCCTTTGTGATCGCCATTCATAGATTATCTTTAAAAGTTTAGCTTCCATAAACCTGGCAATAACTGTTACACCATTACAACTCAGGAACAGTTCATTTATGTACCCCAAATCATTTGCTTCTTGTTGACTTGCCCTTGCTGCATTCTTCTACTCATGATCTCTACGAATGAACTTTTCCTCTCAACATTGGGGGAATTAAATGAGTTTATACACGGTTTGCCTGCCTGCAGAGATCATCTGGTTCAACATGGGGGACTGCTGCAATTACACAGTGCTCCTGACCTTGACAGCATCTTTCCCATCCACCAGTGTGAGCTCTGTGGCTGGCCAGCATGCCGACAGCTTGTAGTGCTCCCTGTCCGCCTTCACGGTCACCAGGACGACCTGCCCAGACTGGTCTGAACTCACTGCAGAGACAAACAGAGAGCAAGCACCAAGAGCAAAGCTGCACTTAGAATCAGTCAACAGCCTATTTATTTTGTGCCTAAATTAATTATTTTGTTTTTCTTTCACATGTTTAATTTAACCTGGGGTATCTCCCAGATGTGGTGATGAGGATGCCTCAATGGAAAGAACTAAGGCAGGAACAAGAGTGAAGGGGAGTCACCACCACTGAAAGAGAAAGGAATAACTGGGCTGCATCTCCACAGCCAGGCCGGTGACTGCAGTAGGAGCTGCCTGAGCCACATTTTCTGCAGAAACCAACCCTCCAGCTCATTGTGCTGTAGGACTTGCTCTCACCCATCTGATCCACAATTATGTAATGCATTCACAGAGGCTGCAATTAACGATTTGAGCAAGTGACTGAAATAAACCTGGGCAATGGAGAGGGCTTGGTCCTGTCTTGTGCTGAGCTGCTGTGATGCAGAGTGTCTCCTTAATCAAGGCTCCTTAATCTGTAGCCCTTCTAAGCAGCTTGATGGCCTGACTTCTGTTATAAACTCATTTTTTTCTGATTGGTGTGGAATTTGGTTTTAAATAATTCATAATTTATGAACTAGCTGCTGCTGTGTAAAAGTAAACTAAAGATGTTACAAAGCACGTTTGTCGCAGGCTTACAAGACATACAGTAATCCTCTGCCTTCTTTACACAATTCTATAGGATTTAAAGAGATAAAACACACAAAAAAACAATTTATATTAACCAAAAAAGCACCCTCTCTTTAATTAAAAGCAAAATAAAAATTGGACGGGGAAACAAATCCTTTATAAATTAAGAAAAAAGGTAAAAAACATAAATAGGTGAAAAATGACAAACATAACTACATTGCATACCTGCTGAGTGAGAGAAATGTTGCATTGTTTTTTACACACACTATCACTTATGCTTACATCACTCCGTGAATGTTCTGCTATACTGCACATTACTTCTGAAACCACTGCAGATCTATTGGTGGGCTGCGCTGTAATACTGCGCTCTCAACACCTGAACACAAGTGAATGGCGCCCTAATGAGAAGCAGCAGTCATTCTCTGAACTCCGGTTTGTTCAGGGCTGAACCTGTCCCAACTCACTGCCCATTCTGACGCTCAAATAATTCCTAACCCAGGGACCGCTGCCTTGTTCTTGGGAGCAGAAAAGCCAAGGTCTTCTGGGCTGTGGCAGGCCCCTAGGGACGTCAGCTCAGTCTACAATGTCACCTTCTTCTCAATCTGCGTGCGTGGCGCCAGCTCTGCGGTCTAGCCAGGTTCATGTCAAGTGTGCGCTTGCATGTGCCCATTTCCTGCCTGCACCCCCGGCAGAAAGAAGGCGACAGAGACGGAAGCTGTGACAAATCTGAGAAGCACTCAAGGCAGTCAGATGTGGCCCAGGCATTTTAATCCAATTATGTCTGACATCATTCAAGCACACAGGCCACTGAGCCACCGAGAAACTGAAAAACTGGGAAAAGATGACAAAAACGCATCCCCAATCTGATTCTCTTCAGCCACATGTCCGAGTTGATAGCCTTCTTAAATAATCAATGCAAAAAAGGCTCTCCCTGCTCTTGTTGACAGATATTTTTTGACAGCGCTCTGCAGAAAGGTGCAGCTTCTACTCTAAAAGATCTTTTGAAAACATACCCTCTTATCCTTCCAACTACTGTAGGTCACCGCATGTAAGCTCCGGGGGCATCAACTATACCTGCAGAGTGTGACCTTTAGGAAACTTGACACTCTCGTAGGTGTTAACGTATAGGCTGTCTAAACTATTACATTACAGCAACCCTCTCCCTCATTGGGTTGCTTCCCTCAATCCACAAGTTACAAACAAAATCCATTGAGAGCAATGATAGCAGTGCTCTATCTCTGTCAGCTGTAGTAAATAGATACTAAATACTAAATAGTTAAATGTACACCACAGAAACTGCAGCCACCTGAACAAAGGACAGAGAGGTTTTATGGAATGTTACAGTAAATTAAACGTTTTCTGATTAGGAAGTGAAATATAGAGGGAGTAATCAGTGGGATAATTACTTCTTATTACATTATTACATTGCTTAATAATGTAATAAAAGTATTGGGAAAAGACAAATCTGTTGTATAGCTTCCACGTATATAACAAAATGGCCTATGACTAAATATGACAATTTTGAAGACAAAGCAACAAAAGTATAAAGGTAATTGCTATTCCTCCAGCACACTGAATTTTTATGTTCTCATGTATATATTAATGTATAAATGGCTGACCCTGCGCTCTGACCCCAAGCTTCTCTCCCTGTCTGTGTCTCATGGAGAGTAAGTTGGGGTCTGTGAAAAAACAAATTCCTAGTACGAGAAAATTGTATATGGCCTATAAAGTGGTCTTATCTTATCTTATGTGACATTGTTCTTAAGGTGTGATTGGCCATTGCTTAGACAAACAGCGGTCTGTATCAATTGTAAGACATTAGTTTACTGCACAGAGTGACTGTGCCAACAACCTATGTTGCCAACACATTGACAGGGGCCTAAGACTGCAATCTGTGCTAGAAGGAAAAAAATGTTTCACACTAACTGTGCAGTGACTATACAGCTTTTTCAACTACAGACCACCAGCTCAGGGGTATGACTTTTAAATCAAGAGGAACAATGTTTTTTCACACAATGGGCTGATCTGTTTGCGTTTTGTTTTTGAGAAACACACCATACGTTTGAAGCAAACAAATGGTTTACGAGGAAAAGCAATTTTTTTACTCTTATCATCTCACAGTACTGAAGCAGAGGAGGCTCTCCTTTCATTGGTGACTTTAACAGAGGTTGCACGTTATCAGGTCCTTCAGATTTTTACAGTATTTATCTAGTTAGCTGTGTCGGCCTACGTGTGTCTTATGGGGTGCAACTGCTTCTAGAATTTGGGCCATGGTAGAATTCGCCCCCCTCCTGTCTAGGATGGTGGACCCAAGCGGGGGGGACACTTTACCTGCTGCACACAGGATGGCACTCTTCCTCTTCCTGCGGGCTTTCCAGACGAAGGACACACCCAGCAGGCGCTCCCCCCGCGGAGTGAAGACCTCCCTCTGGAGAATACTGCGCAGCGAGAACACGGCCATCCATCTGCAGCAGTGTGGGGGCGCAAACAAAAAACAAAGACCCCAGCTCACTGGCGGCTCATTTCACACCAAAAAAAAAAAGGAAAGCAAGCACGACGACAATGGCGAACGCACAAAAAAGGCCACGTTGCTGCCTGAGCTTGCCCTCGCTAGAAGGCCGAACAGAGTGAAATTGCAACCACGGCCCTTCAAGAGAAGCCTGGTAGCTTTCCTCTTACCCACGTCAAGCTTTCACTCCCCTGCGGTCCTGCTGGGTGAGAGGGGGGCTCAGCGATGCCGGCAGCCTGCCAGACAGAGCCAGGCTGGGTGACTGCGAGGTGCAGGAGGCCGCTGGTCGCAGGTTGCTGTGGCTGCTCGGACAGACCCGCTCGGCTACAAAGAAGTGGGGAGCAGGTGAAACGGCCCCGTGCGTCTTGTGCTCTGCTGACTAGCGCAGACTTTAAACTCGCAGGTTAAACAGCGTAAGGCAACCGGTTCAGCTGAGAGCAGCCCCCGTCTGCTGCCATTGTTTCTGGGCTTGGCGGCATGCTCAGAAAGGCTTTAAAAAAGAGATGCTTGCTGCAGCTGGAGTCTTGTTTTCTCCCTCCTCCTACACCTTTTTACCAGATGCTTTACAGGAACTTCTTGCTTTCTGTATACCGCTTGTTTCCTGTGGTTTGACGTTCATGACACACTCATTAAACACATCCCTTTTTCGGAAGCTCTAATTAGTCCCCATTGGCCCTGTGCAGAGGGCTGACATCACGACTTCTCAACGAGCAGCCATGCCGCCTAACAGCCCGGTGGCTTCTTTTACATTTCACTCAACTTTTCACACAACCGTCGCATTTAATTCCTGCCATCGATTCCCGATCTGCTATCCCACTCTCGGGCTCTTGGAGCCTGATTCTCCATCGTAAGATATTAATCTTAGTAATTACCACTTGTGAGCTTCACAGGGAGCCACAGTCACGATTCTCTGGCGTTTGTACAAGTTTGGACATCTTCAAATTTAAGTTCAAATTGCACTGATTTAAGAGGGAACTGACTTCAAAGGTCTAGTTTTTTTATAATTAAAAATATAGGAATTAACTATCTGTCTTTATATTCCACCATGACTTTAAATTGGATCTATCCAGACTGAGAACCAACTTTTATTCTTATTTTCTGTAACTACTTAAGAGTTATAGAGTTAATAGAACTGTACGCATCGTGGAATACAGATAGGATTCTTATTGAATAAAAATTAGACAGTCAAATATTAAGCTTCTGTGTTCTGCTGCTTGGCATTCCTATTTCTGCACAATCTCCCTTGAGTGCTTAATGAAGAACAGCTCTTTTTTATCTAAGGCAAGGAACCTCAAGATTATTTTAATGAATTCAACTCGGAAGAATGCTTATTTTTAAACTACTCGGCGTTCTCGACATTAAGTTACTAACTGGCAGACAGATGTTACCTATACAGTGTTCAGCAGTGTGGGGCTTTGAAAATATCCAAATGAAAGCAGAATATCTACAGACCCATCTCCTGTCAGCTGAAGAATGAATGGAGATGCTAGAAAATAAGGACTAAACAAAAAATGTTTGACGGGAAAATACATAGACCATTGACTATACAGTTTATTCAATTTACGCTTGAGTAAATTCTACGTACCTTTCTTTACCTTTGTTTAGTTTAAATGTAGTGAGCACCGTACTGACGTAAAACCTAACCATACTTTTATAGAAGAATAGTTTATCAAAAAATATTCCTCCTAAAGAAAACCTTTAACGTGCCTCGGTTTCCAAGGAGACACAGGAAACCTGTGACCCGCTGCACCTGTTTGCCCTGGTATCTCCATGGAGACACGAGACGTGTCAATCTCAGCCTCGTGTTGGAGTTCCCATAGAGACCGCTGCCCTGCGGTTGTCAAGTTGAACAAAGTTGTCCACATCTGCAATAGTTGTAATACTTTTTTTCTCTCTCATTATGAGAACGGAAACGCGTCTTTAATGAATTCAGGAGTTTAACAACGCCAGAGCCGTAGGCGTAGCGGTTAGGGCCTGACGTTTCTGTCGGATATCCGTGGCGAGCTGCTCTGAATTTTAATTTAGCGCATGGCTTGGCGTAACGGCACCCGGCGCTTAATGCTTTACGTCAATCGATGTCTTTGCTGCTCCAGTGCTACAAATACGGAGCAACGTTTAAACCGAAAGCGTGGTGTTTTGTCTGACCAGCTCGGAATGACACCTTTAAATCAGTTTAGTGATAACCGTGCACATTCTGCGAAATCCACACCCCTCCTAACTCTTTGCTGGTGTTACACTACCGCTGTCCAGCACCTACAGATTGTTTCTATCGTGTACACTAGATGTCGCTGTGTTAATATGCAATCGGAGGCTCTCTAATTTTTTTCCCCCCAGTTAAATGCCAGTATTTGGTACTGCCGCCTCACGAGTCATTTGGTTCTGGGTTCGAGGTCCGGCCTGGGGTACCTTCTGGGGCTTTTCTCTGAGCTTTCCGGTTTCCTCGCTTTGTGCTCAAAACGCATTCGGCTCTGTTAATTAGCATTTGCTTTCTTAATAGGCCGGTGGATGGATCGTGACCGTTATTCGCTTTTCGTAATAATAAGTCCTCACTTCTCCAAGCTTCCCTTCGTATTTATAACTTCGATTAATGGGCATCGATTCAAGAGAATTAATTCTGCTTGCTTCATTCAGTTACAAACGCCCCCAAAATAAAATAAACAATAAGACATAAGGCGTCGAACATTATTCACACCTAGAGCGTAGTGTTTAGCACACATTGCTGTCTGCGGGGTGAGGTGATTAAGTGTAATTGCTGATACCATGTGTCCAGAAAGGTTGAGACTGAAGAGACGAGCAATGATTATGAACGCGACCTCACACGCACATTCCGATATAGACGTACAGCAAAGGTTCTGGCGTCACCGCGGCAAAAATTAAAACAATACACGAACCCCGGCTGAAAGTGCTGTTGGCACACAAGTATGTTCAAGCTAAATTGTCTCCGCAGGCAAGATTAAAAACTGGAGGTTTGGTGCCCAGGAAGCACGGGACACGGCAGTGTAAGCGTTTATTGTGTGTTCCCTGCCCGGAACGACTCCGACCCGAAACTGCAAGCTTTCACTTTCTCGTTATTGCATTTTTATTAATCACCAGAACAGAATCCAAACACTGCCAGCCTGTCCCACCCGCTCTAATAACACCAGCAGAATATGAGACAATCCTGCTGCGTCTGTCGGGCATTAAAGCACACCAGTCTTGGAAGGGCGTGATTTACAGCAGCGTGGGAACTTTCTGTACTGCTGGTTAAACGGAGTGTGTTACAGGAACGCTTCCAAAGCATCTTAGAGCCTCATGTACATCGAGCAATCAAATGAATGCATTACTCATTTACTATTGGACGTGCAGTACAGGCCAGTGGTTTTCACTCTGGTGATAAGCGTTTGCTTTTCTCCCTGTTAATTAAGTATAATTTCAGATACACTACTGTACTGCAGGCAAATAAAATAAAAATATATAAATCATGCAAATAAAAAAAAAATGCTGGACTCAAGTCTGGCACAATCTGTCCCGCTTATTGGCGCGCATGCCGTCCCGTTTCCGCCACGAGCCGGGCGCTCGCTCCCCCTCGGGCTCACGCCTCTGGAGCGGCGCCAGCGTGACGCGGCCGGGCCGCGGGGCTGGAGGGGGGGGGCGGGGCCGGCGCGGAGGCTATTAGTGCGCGGGAGCGGGGTGTCGGGCGAGGAGAGTCGGTGTGCGAGCCGTGGAGCAGGAGCGAAGGCAGACGACAGCCGCTGCGCGCAGGCATGGACCCAGAGGTGGTCCTAGCCGTCACCATCGGCTCCCATTACTGCTTCAACATATTTTTAACAGTTATGTTTGCCTTCTTCGTGGTTTCCTTTGGGGAGTTCTAGGCGCTCCAAGTACCGAAACCTGCTTTTATTTCCTTATTATTTTTATTTGTTTTTTTTGACTAAGGGACCTCGACAATCTCTTTTTTTTTTTGCTCTCCAGCCGCCGCAGCTTGCTTTTACTTACGCGAAACGGGTCTCCCGGATACTGAACTGAGTGTTCTCCAACTGGACAGAGGGATATTTTAGTTCCCCCACTCCAAATTTACGGCTTTGATTCATCGACAGAGAGCGGCTCGGCAGGTATTGTCCCGGTTTTTCGTTGTTTTGATTTTCACTGCGCATCTTCCGTGTTCGCGTCCCTGAAGAGATTTTTTCCTTTTTTTTTTTCTTCTGCAGAAGCTGTACGGAGATGTTTTGTATTTGCTGTTTGCAAACATATTTCACGCGTCCCAGAGAGACGGGCTGTTACCTGCGTGTCTCGGACTGACAGCTTGAGAATGCCTCCGTAGCGGTCTTTCCTTATAGCAGTGCCTGGCTCTTAGTGCGCCCACAGTGTCCTGGGAATACAGAAACACCCCCCACCACCACCACCACCTGCAAAGAAGACTGGAGGAGAAGAAGCCAGGCGGCGATTTCTCTCGGGCAATGAAGAGGAGGAGGCTGGTACTGTGCCCTGCCGGAGTTTCACCCAGCCGTGTGCTCTGCTGAACACCTTGCCCGTTCACCGGCTTTATTCTGCGAGAGAAGTTGAAAATCAGAAGGCGTTTTCCAGGGCTTACCGGTGTCACAACCTCTCCCTCTCGAGGCTTTCCGCTCGGTCCGAGAGTCGCGCGGTGGAGTTGTCGCCCCTTACCTGTCGGCGCGCCCAGCTCGGCGAGGCCGAAGAAGTCGCCGCCGCACACGGCGAGAGAAGGCGATAGCGAGAGGGAGGGGCTGGGGGTCTCCTTGCCCGCCCGGACGCGCCCGACCATGGCTCTGCCGGACCACGCCAGCGGCTGCCCGCCTGGGGAGGAGCCGGCATTCCCGGAGATCGTGGAGCTGAACGTGGGCGGCCAGGTGTACATCACCCGCTCCTCCACCCTCACCAGCGTGCCCGACTCGCTGCTCTGGGAGATGTTCAGCCGCAAGAGCGCCAGGGGGCTAGCGCGGGACGCCAAGGGGCGCTTCTTCGTGGACCGGGACGGCTTCCTGTTCCGCTACATCCTGGACTACATGCGCGACCAGACCCTGGTGCTGCCCGAGCACTTCCCCGAGCGCGGCCGGCTGCAGCGCGAGGCCGAGTTCTTCAACCTGCCCGAGCTGGTCAAGCTGCTGGCGCCCAGGATCAGCAAGCAGAACTCGCTGGGCGACGACGGCTGCCCCAGCGACCCCGAGGAGTCCTCGCCCACCGCCGACGCCGCCGCGCGCAACCTGTCCTCGCTGGGTGCCGCCGCCGCCGCCGCCTGTGCCAGTCTGACCCCCGGGGGCGGCGCCGAAACCCGGCGCTCCGGCTTCATCACCATCGGGTACCGGGGCTCTTACACCCTGGGCCGCGACAGCCAGACGGACGCCAAGTTCCGGCGGGTTGCGCGCATCATGGTGTGCGGGAAGACTTCGCTGGCCAAGGAGGTGTTCGGCGACACCTTGAACGAGAGCCGGGACCCCGACCGGCCCCCCGAGCGCTACACCTCCCGCTACTACCTGAAGTTCACCTTCCTGGAGCAGGCCTTCGACCGGCTGGCCGACGCCGGCTTCCACATGGTGGCCTGCAACTCCACGGGCACCTGCGCCTTCGCCCACGACCAGACCGACGACAAGATCTGGACCAGCTACACCGAATACGTGTTCTACCGTGAGTGAGGTCAACGGCCCCTCTCCCCGCCCCCTACCGAGCCCCCCCCACAGCACCCCCCGCGCACCCACTCACCTGCGCCCGTCCGCCTGCCTTCCCAGAATCCTCTTGTGCTCCAAGGCGGCCCCACCTGCTGTAGATTAGAGATCTTTCGTTGCCCCCATCTCCCCCTCTTTGTGCCCGAGCTCACCCAAACAGGTCTTCTTACCCAGAAGCTTTTTAACCACAGCGCAAACTGACCCTTCGTGCGCCCTGTGGAGAGACTGCAGGACCCCCGCAGGACCTCTTTTAACGACTGGTGACGCCGTCTTGCTGCGTCTCCAGTAGCGCTCGGCTCTGAGACCCGGGCGGTGGGGGGTTTGTGGGGTTGGGAAACGGCAAAGGTTCCCTTTCTATTATTCTAAAAGGGGCAGCTAAACAGGGGCGAAGTCTCTCTTCCTCTTGGTACATCTGCGCAAAATAATAAAACAGAAGAGGGCCGTTATTGATACCGGCGGTCATCCGGGATCACATTCCTTTCGGTCTGCTGCCGGGTGGCTTTTTTTAATCCTTTTTTTAATTCTTTCTGGTGATTATCAAACCGTGAAAAAAAAAATGACCTCAAGGTCCCTCTTTGCCTTCCCCGATGAAGAAGGGGGGGGCGGGGAGGTAACGTCTTTCATTTTCTACTACATTTCCCCCCCCCCCTTGATCAATACGGTAGGAAATCGAGGGCCGATCAGGCAGCGCGACGTGATCCCCGTGAACTGATGCTGCCCTCCTAAGCCTTCAGGGCTTAAGGCAGAAGGGAGGACTAGATCAATAAGCAGTAGGCACCCCTACCCCCTCCTCCTCAGCCCTGCCGTGAGCCCGGGGACCCCCCGGCCATGCAGGGGCAGGGGGAGCGTCTCTGGGCAGGACATTCAGCGGAGGGGGAAAAAAGGAAAAACACGAGCGAGCTTCAAAGGCAGGGGAACGGCTCTGTCACTGCGCCGTCAGGGCAGATGAGGGTGAGCCGCACCTGCCTTCTCGCTCTCCTCCAGCTGCCACTGATCTCCACCAGTTTCTTGCATCTTTCTGTGCTCGATACTGACATTGCTGCTGCTGTGGCAGAACAACATTTACAAGCGAGAGGCTGTTAATCCCGTTTAACTTTACCGGGAACAATTTTTTTTTCTTGACATTCTGTTGCCCGTGGAGGAGGGGTTGTGGCAGTACTGTACGGGGCTCCAGAAAGCACATTGTCCAGGCTGCTCTTCCTGCTGAACTCCGAAAGGCGCAGATTCTTCCCTGAGCCCAATAATCGAGAAGATAAGCTCTCTCCAAGCACAGACAGACAGCTAAAACTCTAGACCTGCCTCCTGTTTTCTGGAGAATGCTAAGGTTTCCGCAGTCGCCCGCACCTGCAGAGAAGACCTGCGAGACGCCAGGCTGGTAAGAGGTGTCCCACACTGCCAGGCAGCTGTGAGGCCCCAGAGGAGCTTCTCGGCGAGACCCGCCGGACAGCTGTTTAAGAAGTGGGGCAGCATGAGTCATGTGAAGACCTATTGTGTTATTGCCTGTTTTTCCCACACGTTTATATAACGCCAAAATCAATGAGCGTGCTCGGCTAACGGTCTGTGCATCGAGGTGCGGCCACAGTGATAGACGCCATTAAGTGAGCTTGTTGCAAAAACTCGGGCAGGCAATGATTATATTTATTGATCTGCATTTAAATGGTGACAAAAAGTCAGGCTTTGAGCCTCACCACCTCGCCTTCTCCGGGAAAGAAAAGAAAGCACATCGCCTGCACTTAAAATAGAGCACAACAATCAGCACTGCTGTAATTCCATCACAATTACAGGTGGATTGCCTTTGATGAGGGAGCAGTGTTTTTGTCTGCCTCATTTTACTACAGATAACTAAAGTAAGCCTTTGGACAACCGCTGTGGCAGTTTTGGGGAAAACACTGCTGAAGTACAGGTGTTGCCAGGGCAAATTTTTTTATTCCTGAATTTTGGAGGTACCCCAGGACTGTGCAAGCAGGGAGGAGAGAAGGGGGGGTGGGGGGGTTACATTTTGTTCAGCTTTTGGAAAGGCTGGCCCTGCCTTCCTGTGGCCCAGGAGGAAGGCTCGGTTCCTGGGGGTGAGGAGGCAGCAGTGAGGGCAGGCTAGCGGAGAAGGACAGAGAAGATGTAACACTCAGATTCGATTAAAACCGCGCATCTTGTCAGGGTCATTGACGGGGACTTAAAACCGTGTCTTAGGGGTAGGTAGGCACACATCCAGTCAGTTATCCAACAGGCAGGTGGACCACTAGCTTGGCATGCTGATCACCCCCGAGAAACACTTCAGCTGCTTCAGGGGACTACACCCCCAGAACCAGGTGGCTTTACTGTGTCCCCCAACCTCCCTCTAGGAGTATTCACTGTCCTGTCAATAAGGAACACGCCATCGTTTGCGATGATGTTCACCCATTCGCACGACGTGGACAACTTCCGCCATGCTAGATCTCGGCCGTCGAACTGCTAAAGAAAAGTCGGCCTTGGGATTGTTTCTCCGCCTCCTTTCGCGAACAGTCATTGCAAGTGAAATAACCTGCCGTGGTATTATGGCTGGTATCCTTTAAGAAGCAGCCGGGTGAGGTTTCTGGGTCAGTCAGCTACAGATAACTGAAAGCAAGGTGTGCAGGCTGGAGCCCCTCTTGATTTTGGTTCTTCTCGTGGACGCGATTTGCCCCAAAGGTTAGGAGAAGGTGGGAAGTGGTGTTTGCGAGGAGGCGTGGGTTTGTGAGGGCCAGGGGTCTCTCAGTGCGCCTCCAGATGTCTGGTGCAGTGGGAAGCCCGGATTCGGTGTAGATCTGTCTCCTCTGCCCCTGGAAGCTACGAGGTCTGATTGGGGCTTGAATTCATCTTCCTGCCGTAGCTCCTGGAGAGGAAAAACAGAACTGCACAACCGAGTGTCTTTCACAGAAGTGTCTGAGCCAGCTTTCTATACTGACAACTGAGGAAAGGGCAACTCCTGACTCTCTGCTAAAATCGGTTTTAATTACAGCTCATTAGCAGGATCTGGTAGCAGAGGAGGTTCTTGGGTGTCATTCCAGTGAATGGGCTCGGGCCAGGGAAGTAGGCTGTGGCCACGAGATGAGTCACCGTAGGAAGAAGTCTGGGACTTCTGGGACGCCCCAACACCATGAGTTTTTGTCCCACGTGCTGCAGATTTGGGGGTGTCTGTGGGATCGGGAAGCTTTGAAGTGAGGCTGAGTCAGAGGTGCTGTCTCGAAAACTGCGAGCATTCTGTGTTTGAGGGTCACCTGCACCACGGATATGAAGGGAGAGAGCAGAAGGTTTGATTGTGTTTCTTTCTCATTCGCTTTTTGAATGTGTCCATTCGGTAGATTCGATGCTATCCTTCAAAGAAAAGCCAGGCGTAAGAGCTGCCCAAAGCTTAAGCTGTTGAGCGCCTGCGTTTTAGACTAAAAATATTCATGGTTTTTCGATATTAGGTGAAGACTGCTGAAGGTTTTGGCAGTGGCTGTAATTCCAGGACAGGATTTGGGGAAGGCCAAGAGACAGATTCCCCTCTGTCAGCACAGGGTCTCCTGCTTCAGATTGCGAAAAGTTTGGCTGTCGAAAGCACAGAAAACAAACACATCCCAAAACACTCCTGATTCCCAGTGCACCAAAGCCCTGTGCTCTGGGGAGTGAGTGTAGGTTCATGTTCTCGCACCAGCGAACTGAGGCACAGAGACACTCAGGGGCTGTGCTAATAAGCTCCTATAGGGATTTGAAAGGCTGTGTGCTTCTGGGGGCTGATTTTATTTCTGCTCGGCTACCCATGCCAGGGAGCAGCCCCTTGGACTGGAAGTGTGGGCTCCGAGGCTCTGATTGTCAGTAATCAACACCGGCGTTTGTGGGGTCTTCAGCATTTCCCAAGCAGGCACAAAGCTTACAACCCTCCCCCCCCCTCGAAGCCACACCTCCTTCCTCTGGAGTGAGACACCCTCTGGGGCGTTCAGAACTCCAAACCCCACTCGTGTCCCGTGCGCCGCAGTCACCACACCGCCAGCCTGCTTACATCAACAAGCGTTTTTTTCCCACCGGCTTGATGAGCCGCAAGATTCCAAGAGGTTTTCTTTTGCTCGAATGCAGAAAAAAAAGATAACCCACTAAAATACGAGTCTCCCCGTGAATGGAGAAAGTCAGTGTCGGGGTGCCTGAACCCCGGCAGTGTCTGAACCCTTGTGGGACTCTGTACAGAGGCATTTTGTTTTTGAAGCGATAGCTGATTTCGGATCGACAAAGCACTGCAAATCAGTGTTTGTACTCAGGCTGCTGTTTCTGAGACCAGGGTCAGATCTCCAGCCCAGCCATAGGTACTATATTTTTACATTCTCTTTATTACCTCCTCGGTTTCTTTTATGTTCAATTTCCCGCTGGAGGAGGTGGGTGCTCTGTCGGTGAGTAAAGCCTTTGAAGGCCCATCTCTGCTTGCCGCCAGGTCAGTCAGCACTGGAACAAGACTAACCCTCTGTGTGCCAGGGAGTTTTTTTGGGTGCAGACAGGGAGAATCACATTAAGGGGTACCTTGGTGAAGTCCGTCTGGACACACACACACACCCAGAAAGCCCCAAAAGCACATCTGCTAGAGTGAAAAAGATCCTGCTCCCAGAATCCTGCTCTCTCTTTAGTGTTTCCTGTGCCTGTGTTTGACAGGGTGTATTTTTCAGTGTGTCTTGAAGTGAAGAAGCCACAGACTGGCCAGTGTCGTTTGTGTTTATCTCCCAGAGCATCCTGGGATCCTTCTGCCGAAGGACGGGGAGAACTAAACAGCAGTAATGAGAATAGCTGTTCAGAAAAGCACAAAAAGACTTCATGCCTTTTTTGGGGATGTTACAGCAGACCAGTCGTAAAGCTCTGTGTTTAAAAGAAAACCGAAAAAAAAAACCCTTGGCTAAAAGTTTAAATGTGCATGAACCTGTGCCAAAACCATGAGCAGATCCACTTTTTTGATGTCTATGGAATAGTATGCCTACTGTGACCAGAGTAAGACAATAAAGTTATTTTGTGATGAACTCGGGTTGTGGCAATCTGATTTATGCAGTGTGTGTGTTTCTGTCGTCTCGCAACTGGGAATCGCTCGTCTTTGAAGTGGCAGATGAACACTTCACTGCTCGTGAAAGAGGGAAGCTGCTCGCATTCAGATCACACTGTGTGCGGAAAAGTGAAGGATGAGGAGCCGGTGCTCTAAAACAGTTCTTTTGAAATCATAAAAGAGCCCTAGGGAAATTACAGAGCGCAAATCTGCATTGGAGGATGTGCAAATGAAAAGTATTTGCCTGTTGTGGTTTTGCCTCGTCCTCTTACTGATAAATGCTTTGACACGATTTCTTTTTAAATGCGTTCCGTCTCCTTGTCTGAAAACATTCGATCGCTACAATCCAATATGACCGTGTCCTTACGGAGTCCGCCGAAGGTGAGGAGCTGTAGGTCAGACCCAGGGGGCCGGCCTGGGAAGCTGGCTGTCACGCCATCACTGAATCTGAGCCTGCCCAGAGGCTGGGGGAGTGGAGGCATATCTGTAAGGAGACCACCTGACACTGGGGCTGGAGCTTGTAGCCCCTCTTCTCCAGATCATCTGAAGCAACGAAACTCTCTGCGCCCTGCACGCCTAGGCAGTCTGGGACCTTCAGTTTAGTAACTGATCACTAATTAGTACCAGGTCTTCATTATCAGTGATCTGAAAGGTCCTGACCATTACATTGCCTTACCAATACAAACTGGTACTGTAATAACAAGGCGCCATCCCTTGCTCACAGCTCCAGGCAAGGGCTCGCAGTGTAGGGCCTGGTCACATCCTAGTGACACACCCACTCAAGGGTCAGCCTGGGGTCCAGAGAGTCCTCCCACTCAGGGGAAGATCACAGCCTTGATCCACTCAGAGGCTAAAAACAGCAGAACCCTGCTTCTACCACTGCCCTTATCTCTGAGTCTCTTAGCGTTCATTTATGGGGGACATTCAGGAAGAGTCAGTGCAATCATTAAGACATTGACATCTCATCTCTGTAACCTTCCTGTTCTTTTGTGGTCTTACAAATGTGTATCTGTATTTTTAAAGTCTCCACAGGGCTCCCCTCTGCCTGCCTCTGCAGAGAAAAGCTCCCTGCAGGCCCCCTCCTTTCTTTCCCCAAGGCTATTTGCTCTGTCCCCCCCCTACCTTCCCAGTTTAAAAATAAACTCTCACTCACTCTGCTATTACCACCATTCCATCCCAGATCACCAAGGTGAATCGCCCTGCCTCCCGCCCCCCAACACCCCCCTGTTGATTTTGTTCAGAAAGCCACACTCTCTTCCTTTTCTCTCTCTCCCCCCCCCTACCCCCAGTCTTCCTCGGCCCCTCCCCTCCCCATCTCTCTCAAGACAAAAACTTCCCCTCTTTCGATTTTTTTGCCTATCCAAGAATCTTTCTTTTCCTCCCACTCTCTCTCTCTCTCACTAGAGGCCTCTCGCTCTCTGAGTGATGCTGCTCATCAACAGGCAGAAAAAAAGTTTGTTTTCCACATTCTTCGAAACTGTTCTGCAGGGGCCCTGTGGTATTTTATGCCCCAGGACTAGGAATACAGCTCTTTTCGGAGTATGTGAAGACCTCCATAGGAAAGGATTTAAAAATGTACCAGGGTGTATGTACCCTATAGTCACCTGGGCTTGGGACTAAATCATGTGCCTTGCTCAGGGTCTGTGATGCCTGTGGTAGTGAGTGCTGCTGAAGGGGTTGTAGAGGAGGGAGGTGTGTGCCTGTCGCAGCTGGGGAGTGGGAGGTGTGACGAGCTTGTCTTGTCTGCGCAGGTAAAGGCGAAGTCGGGAGCGAGGAGGAGGGCGGCAGTCGGCCACTTCCTGGAACAGGTACAGTGACACCTTTCACCCCCTCCTCCTGTCCCAGCTTGACCACTCAGCCGTATCCCCGCCCTCTACCTGCTCCTGCTCTTACCCCGAGAAAGGGCAGTGCCCACCTGGGTGACGTGTGGCAGCCGTTCTGCGCCAGCAGCCCCGCTGCACAGATCAGGTGCAGAAGTGAGAAACTGCTTCACTGATTGCGTAATGGGAGCACCTTACGGGGGTCAGATTGTACAAACAGGCACAGACTAGAATTTTGCCAGGATACTGCAGTTACCACCTCTACTCTAACAGTGCCCAGGGACCACAGTGGCCCAACAGGCACTACTAGGCATAGTGGCAGTACTTCAGTTTTAATGTCTCCTCTGAAAGACAGCACTTCCTACAGCTGAAAGTATAGTACAGCTTTCACCATACTGAAAAATTGATTTGGGAATTCTGGTGCCATCCACCTTAGTGGTCTCCCTTCCCAGAAATAAACAGGCACAAACTTTTTTAGTGTCTGAGCTCTGCCAAAATGAGGCAAAGGTGGTCATGTTAGTGGGAGGAAAACAATTCTGCAGTCATGTTCTTTGGCCTTTTGTTCCAATACTGAGAAAGAAGGTCTGGGAATATGTACAGTATGTTAAATAAGCATGCATGGGTAGAACCTGTGATGCTATTAAAATAATTTAGAGCATTTGAGGAATTCTGGTAACACAGCATCACATTTAAAATATACAAGGAGGATCCTATGTGAAATTCAGTATTGGACACCAGTGGGTTATTTTCTGTACATGTCAATACTCCACACTGACACTACAGCATACCACAGACTGTGGTAGATACACCCCTTCACAGGAGAGATTTCATATCTATTTGCTCCAGAGCACAATTTGCTCACCCTTTTAGTTATGAAAGAGGTTATAAAAGATTAAAGGCGTAAATCAAGCAAGAAGCAAAAGGCCCAGTAAAAGGGAAACTACATTAATTCATTTTCACTTTCAACATAGCTGAAAAGATGAAGGCCATAGCAGCTCATCACAACAAAGCTGATCCTGGCTCTGTAGTGTTGAGAGGACAAGAGAGCATCTGACACCCATGCTGGATGGGACTTGAACCCACACCCCATAGCCAGGGGTTTACTGAATATAAATTGAATATAAAGTTGGCAGGTAATATCTCATCATGAGGTTCAGACCGGAGTAGTACAGTGGAGTCCCAGCATTGTGGATTTCTCTGTGTGCTCATATTAAGACCTGAATATTTGCATGGATGAGCTTCAAGGCTCCAGTCCAAACCGATCTGAACAGACACACTGTGATACACTGACAGCACCTGGGAGCTTGAAGGACAAGGGAGTTCAGTCTGGGATGGAAGAAACCGCGAGTGAATTGTGACTTTAAGTCAGATCACTCAAACGGATTTCATGGTAAAACCACAGGATGTAGTCCTGCTTCATTATGCTTTTGGGTGGGTAATGTTGTTTGAATTTTATTACTTTAAAAAATGTGACAAAATACAGTGAATGTTAAGGGACTCTAGAAGAATTGAATTGCAATTCACACATGCATGCATTTGAATCAATATATAACTTCTGGGTCTAGCAAGCACCAGACAATTTTTTTTTTCCCTGACATTGTCTTTGTGTTAAATAAGAGGAGCTTCATTCAGACTTTGTAAAGGCACATGTAATGACATGGAATAACATGCACTTGAGCATTAACGTGTGCTGCTCATCAATATTGAATTTAACGAAGGTGTATGCTTCATGGAAGTGAGAGTGGGGAGTCATAGTGGTGCAGGCAGTGCCGGAGTGTCTCAGTCCAGACACACACAGGGACTCCAGCTGCTGGCCCAGGTCACATGACCGTGCCCTGTTAGAGGGTCATGTGACCGGTGCCTCGCAAGTGGGGGAGGGGTAGCCTGCGATGCGTTTCGGATCGCTCTGTAACCCGGCTCTTGCCACACGTTCCCAGCACTCTTTTAATTTTCCACCCCTTCCGCAGGCACACCAGTTTACCTTAACAGTCAGCATTTTCTTCACTGTTGCTTTGTTGCTTTCGATGGCTTGCTTCAGGGAAGAGAACAGTTAAATGTTCGGTCCATTTGTTTTGGCTGGAAAAAAACTAGAAGAAAGCCTGGATCCACAGGCTTCCTTCTCATTTCATGGCACACCAGTGTACAGCAGCGCACAGTCTGGGTTAGGGATGCAAGCGCAGCCCAGTGAAGGTTTGAGATTAGTTTAATTTGTGACCAAAACGTCCCTTCCTGGAAAACACAGAAGGAGACGCGCACAAGGTGTATTTCCCACAGTGCCCTGCATTCCAGGAGTGTTACAGAGAGTTTCATAGTTCAAGTCCTGCTCCGGTCAGCCTGTGTTATTACCATGAATACCATGAATGGGGGTTTATGAGTGGCCATTACCAACAGCCACTTATGGCCTAGTGGCTATTCCTGATCATGTTATCTCTAGCTTTCAGCTATTCCTGAGGTGTCAGGTACAACAGCAGGTGTCTGTTTAAGATTCCCCCAAGCCAGGCCAGGAGTAACGACCCCAGGCCGGGGTCAGATTTCTACCCTGGGAGGCACAGCTCTGCCCCTCCCTGTTTCCAGGGCAGCGCAATACAGTTTTACATGGCAGGCTGACCTCTGGTATGGTCTCTTAGTGTCTGGATTCAGTCGCTGCCTCTGATCTCAATGAGATGCAGTAGCGGTGGCCCGGCTCTTGTCACCCAGTCTGAAGCGTTACGCAGAATACAGAGGGGGATTGAGGGAGAGGAAGACTCGTAACTCAGAGTCCCAATTAGCCAGTGAGCCCTGTAGCTTTAATGTGAAGCCCTGTGTTTCACAGTGCGTACCAGGCACTCTTACTGCCACTCCCCCTGCTTTTCCCCTGTTCTCAAATCCTCGGGAGTAATGAGGGCTCTACAGCTACAGGCTGTAATTATGAAACATTAGCTGGGGTGACAGTGCCGGGGGCTGCAGGCTTTCTAAGTGACGTGCTAATTCTGTGCAGAGTCGGGTCTGATCGTCAGCTGGAGCGGGCAGGGCTCCTCTGCAGAGCTCATCCGGGAGGGTGGGAGAAACGCCCCGATGTTCTCCTGTGAGCCACGAGGCTGCTGTCAGAGTGGCGATGCCCGTACTGGCACGCCTGTTGTCCTGGCCGCGTTGCGCCAGGCTGCAGCAGCGGGTTACGATCCAGGCCCGGGATGGTGAGGAGAGCGAATGGCGGAGAGCCGAAAAGGGCCGCACACAGCGGCGAGCAAACTCATCTGCTCGGGTTGGAGTGAAAACATGCAGCTGGGTAAGAAGGAGGGGCAGGTGCCCGGCAACCAAAGTGTTAAAACCCCCAGCTGGGATCTGTGAGGCCTCGTGATGAGCTGCTGTTTTGAAGCATCCTGTTTTAACACAGATAATTACACGGCTGTGTCAATCACGCGTACTGGGCACGATCAAAATCTCACAGAATCAGGACATTGAAATATAAGTGAACGTATGAACTGAGCAGAGCAAGGGATATTGCAAAATAAATTGCACTTCTCTTAGAGCAGTCCGAAAAGGAAAACAAAAACCCCCTATAATAATATTGTTTAAAATTCAATAATCCTCTCCCAAGGTAAAAAGACACCAAGCCATATATCGAGCACAGCAGCAGTGTGGAAATACAACCAAATCGTTTTTTCTTTCCCGATGGAAAGGTGCATTCCTAACCCCCAGCACAGGAAGAGAATAGTAAGGCACGAAGATAAAGCTGACTGCAGCCCCTGACGGGCAGGCTGTAATCCTTTAGAAATGAATCCAAAAACTGTCCATGCAGAAGAGGAATGTGAGAGAACACCTGCGTCAATCTGCATGGATGAAATTCATTAAACCTTAAGTGGAATTTCTAAGGATTTTAATGGATTTACTAGCCTCATAAAGACTCATAAAGACTGTTTGCACCTGTATTATAAGAGTATCGTAGTCCAGGCATGGTCAATGCATATATGTACTATTTACGGCACAATAGTGAAGGAAAGTGCAAACTGAAGAGGCCGTACTGTGTCACAGGAGCAGACTTTTCCCTCGTGGCACCAGCCTGCCACAGGGCATACATGATGATCCAGGGACTGCAGGAGGCAGTCAGAGCCTGGCACCCACAGCCACCCAGTTGAGCCACGTGTTCATCTCGCCTCCTGGATTTCACATCCCGTCCTCCCGCTTCTGACAAACGAGGACTTGGACTTACGAGCCGGATGAGCTGCGTGGGGCCTCCGCCCGTTTGTCACCGGTCTTGTGTCCATTACTGTGCCGCTCCGGGAGAGGTGGGCAGGGGCAGACAGCGCCAGGAGCAGTGCCCTCTTGGCGCCACACAAGCCCCATCGCGAGTCAGCGGTTTTCTTTCCGCTTAAGTCCAACTAGTAAGATTTCCACGTGCATCACTGATTAGCACAGGATTCACACCACTTCCACGTCTCATTCAGTGGTTTCAGAGTTGAAAGCACATTTCTGAAAAGGCCTCAGACAGAAAATAAAGATAAATTAGTCGGTGGTCGCGCACAGGAGTACTCCAGGACCAGGGCTGAGACCACTGTCTGAAATGGAAGGTTTATTAACTGTTGTAAACACAGGGACGTTTTAGAAAACAGTTGGGGATCCTTGAATCACACTCCATCAAAAACAGTAATTTATAATGTAAAAGAAAATCCTTGATTATTTCAAATGCCACAATAGTTCACAGTAGCTTCATAGTATAATGCTTTGCCTGTATACTGGGTCTTCAGGACAGGCCTTACTTATTCATTAGAAAATGAGTTCACTGAAAAGGTGGTGGACATAGGAGGCCATTAGGTCCGTTTAGCATTTTTGATTACCAGTAGCTAATAATTATCTGATCTAGACACTTCTTGAAAGCAACATGACTGTGTATTGTTTCACAAACATTTATATGAATAAGTGGTTTGAATTATCTAATGGACTTGTTAGCTTGCACTTGTGTTCTTTGACTAACATTTCACTATTGAAACTGTGTTTATTGCAGGAGAGGTTTATTAAGATTAATATTTTTCCTGAAACTTGTTTTACAGGAAAATCATTTTGATATGTGAACCATCTACTTTAAAACAGTTATGCTAATCTTGTTTGGAATGTCTGCATTCGTGCTATGAAGCTACTAATTATAACTATCCTGCCTGGTCAGTAATGGCTGACCAGCACCCTGGATCCTACCTCCAGGTTGCAGGAGTCTGTGTCTCAGGTCCAGTGCTGTAGCCCTTGCTCAAGCCAGGACCATTACAGAGTCATGCTTTGCAAGAAAATAATCCCGTTGCTTTGAGGTGACATGTAGGAAACAGATGGTTTAAGCATTAGGAAACTGTAAAGCAAATGGCAGGGTGACACAACGTTATCCAACAGTCATGGCCGCCACAATGCAACCACATCTTTCCACAGTGTGTTAAGCAGTCAAGACCTCATGGTTCACCTCGATATTCACTACACTCTGTGACAGTTTGCAACAAACAGAACTGGCCAGCAAACAGCAGCCCAGAAACAGCCTGAGACAGGCATACCAGTGGAGACAATGTTAGATCTGAAGCCAATGAGTTCTCAAGGTAAAGAGACATCCTTAACGAATGAATTGTTAGAGCTTTTACAACAGTATTACAGCAGGTTCAAGTGGGAGGAGTTGTCTTATTATGTTGAATAACATCTTAAACGTCATTTTAAGACATTGTCATTGTCTTAAAGTGTCAATGACAGCATATCATTCAAGACACCACACTTCCTACAGGATTGAGCATTGTGTGGGTTAGGCCTGCTGTAAGTGATGTTTGTGGACCAGAAGGTAGTGCCCTTCCCTCTGTACCAGAATTTATACAGGTGGTAAAGTAGACTGTCGATTGTGGCACGCGCCTGTAGGCCTCACAGGTCAATCCAAGCTGTTCCTATGAGCACCAAGCTGGATTTACTGGTGCAGCAGGTATGGCAGTACTAACAGATCCACATTGCTTTCTCCTGCCTTGTGTCATTGTGTTACTGCATTCGCTGTCCAGCTGCACTCAGAGAGAGAGAAAGTGCAGCTGGTTTAGCTCCAAAGCTTCCTTTTGTCATCATCAATTTGTGTTTTTGTATTTGGCCTAACTCAATTGCAATATATGCGAACATGTTCAGCAATATTAAACTTCTTGTGATACCAATGAATTACAAAAAAAACAACCGAATTAAACATGGAAGGAAACAATTTATCACAGATTGCAGACGGTGCAGAGCCCAAGGCCGGAGATATAACAGCCGGAGCAGAGGACAGCTCAGGACTTCTTGGAGAGCAGGGAAACTCAATATTCCTCTGACGTCTCCCGAAGGTGGGGACGACACTGCGCCCCAAATTGTTCAGCTCCTGCGTGGAGCCCCAACAGCTGGCATTGCTGTTGCCAGAGGCAGACCCCTGGCAGACTGGAGCACTCCCTCTCTTTCTCTCAGGGAGGCTCCTCTTGGTCAGCACTCGTTAACAGATTGTCAACAAGGTTATTTATAGCTGTTTAGGCAGCGGGCCAGCTGTGTGCAGCTCCTCATTATTGCGCCATTGTACAGTCTGTGGTCAGTAATTATTCAGGGGCGATTAACACAGCCAGAATGGGTATTTCTATCACTCGTCCTTACAGGCTTTCAGCAGACAGAAGCAGGAAATTGATGCTGTCAAACCAGCCCAGCATTAGAACAGACCTGTGGCAAGTAGTTTGTAACATCTTTCAGCTGAATTCCTCTTCAGTTTTTACCTAAATGTTGCTTAGTTGAAGGGTGTTGCACAAAGTAATACATCAGTCAATACCCTAGTTGCAGGGGACTGGAAACTATTAAGTTATGTGGCTTATGTGGTTTTCTATTCAATCAGCTCCATCACTCTGATGCACACAGGATATGCAGGTGCAGGTAACTTACCTGTAACTGAGATAATCAGATGCACATCTAGAGACCTGCATGGTGTGGGTTAGGCCAGCTTAATCACTTACCTGCTGTTAGTGATGTTGGTGGACCCGTAGGTGGTGCTCTTTCCTCCAGACCAGAATTTCTACACCAACGCCCCAGTACGGTGACAGGAAACACCTTGCTGTTGGAGGTGGTGTCCCGTGGGTGGGGTGAGAAACTGAGATGCTGACTACTTCATCAGTAAATCCTATGGCACCGTTTGAAACAGTACAGGTGTGAGCCCAGCTCTAGGCCCCTCTAGGCTTACAGTCTGACCTACCTAAAGTTCCCCCCTTAATTAAATTAATGAAGTAAAGGATTTCTCACTGCTCCCCTGATCCCCCTGAGCTGCCTTGAGATCTTTTGGGGTTGAAAAGCATTGTACGAATTACGGGATCTGCGTTCTCATTTGCTAAACCCTCAAAGCAACCCCAAAAAGCTGCTGACTCCCCATCCCCTGAATGAGTAGGGACCCACTGCCCCCCTGATAACTTCACCTACAACCCATATACAGGTGGCCTCCAACAATTACAGTGTGCGACACCCTGAGGCACCTGGAGATGTCCATTATGTATTGGGGCACTAGCCAGCAGTTATATTAACCTGCAAATCACAACTGGCAACTCACTGCAGCTAGGCAGCTGTGAACAGATTAATGAACTGGCTTCATCACTCTATTCTCCTCCCCACTGAGAGCTGGTGTGTAGTGAGAGTACTGGCGCACTATGGCTGCCGTTGCATCATCCAGGTTCCAGGTCGGGCTACACATTACCTGTAAAACTGCTTGAGTAGAATTTCCAGAAAGGCGCTATATAAGTGTAAGGAATTATTATTATGGATTGTGGTACATCACCTTGCTGTTGCTTAGAGCTACTATAGAATAGAATATCTGGTTCAGTAAAAAGCACTTTAAAAAGCAAGCTCCCGAGTGTTTGAAAAAAATAACAGCTAATCATTTGACAAAGCCAGAGCACATGACAGCAATCAACCAAAAAAAAACCGTACAAGCAATAAAATTCTGTTTCCAGTGTTGAAGAGCTGTAATTACAAGGCAGTCATTATGGCTGTGATTGAAATCCCTCTGACGTCTGAGAGGAGGCAGGAGAAATGAACAGAAATTGATGACAGACAGTCGGATGGGAAAGTGTGCCCAGGCTGGCAGTGCCCCTCACCCTACAGTGCAAGCGGGGTGTGTGGGTGAGGGATTGGCGATAAGGGGAACCGCAGATTGAATCTGCTCCCGCAACCGACCCGTACAGGGGTTTCAAGATCTGGGACGGAGTGTCACCTCCTCCATCTGGAGACTTCGGAGGAATAATCTTGTCCCTAATTAGGTTTAATCCTCAAATGGCCTTGTCCTCGTACTGCCCGTCAAGGAGATCTCTAATCTGCGCCCCTCCCCCCTGCCCAGCTCTGCCCTGTCCTGCAGCCATCAACGCAGGTGTGGAGATGGTACGTGGGCAACAGGGTCCAATTGGGTGGCCAGACACGCTGAGAAACACTGGATTGGAAGTTCGCGATTCAACAGAATTTGGAATATTTGAAGGTGTGTAAAACGGGTACGAGATCAAAACAAGTTCTTTTGAATGATTAATGCTCTTCGCCACATCTAAAATCCAGTGATTCTCCCAGGCCTGGAAACAGCGTCCCAGTCACACTGTGTTACTGCATGTACCAGGGCTGGCGGGGCCCGGTCCCCTGGAACTACAAACCTGGGGAACTTACAGGCCCTCTAAGACCACACGAGAGCTTCGATTGGCTTGATAAAACTCATTGGAGGCAGTTAAGTCAGGAATGGCCAGCTGTGATCCCACAAGCTGGTGGTATTTCCGTGTCAAGCAATATCTAAACAACGTAATTGCACAGACCACTTGCTACAGTGGTGAAAATAAAATTGTTCTGAGTTGCAGTAGATGATTTGATGGTAGTGATGGCTTGTCACCCCTCATTCTCTCACACATCCTGCCTACGGTATACTGTATATACACATGCGTACTGAGATAATGCTACTCTGCTATTGTTATTGTACTGCAATGTGATAGCACCACTACTATCATTACTACTGCTGCTGACAATAGAAATCATTGTGAAAGAGCTCTGTTCTGGGGATCAGAGCAGGAACTCATTGTGCAGAGCATCTGTATTCTATAGGAAGACCGGGAGAAAGTGTAAAGCTCTCTCTTTTTTATAATCCTCGCAGAGAAATGAGCCTCAGCCCCGGGGTAATAATCTCTGTGCTGAAACACCATCACCTCCTCCTCTCACAGCTCACGCGTGCTCAAACTGAGAGACACACGCACACACACACCACTGCGCTAGAATATTCTACACATGCAGAGAGCTTCCATATGGAGCAAGCTGATTTCTCTAACGGCTTAATGCCGTTATATAAGGGGGGTTACTGTGCTCATGTGAATCCCTGTTTCGCTCTTAGACTGCCCCCATGCGCGAAAGGCTGTGTCCCTGCCTGTTTCCCACCTGTGAGTGTGTGAAGAAGGAATGTCCAGGAATGTAGGTATAGCACATTCAGGAGGGAGGTGCTGGCAGTAGCAGGTGTACAGTGACCTGTTAGAGGGGTAGAATGGGGGGTAAAAATGACCTCCAGAGCATCAGTCATGCACACTTTGATTGGTCACTGTCCAGCCTCTCCAGCCTGCTCTCCCTGTCGGTCTGTGGGATTACACAAGGCAGCAATGTTGCAGAAATCAGGGGGCACTGCGTAGGTCAGCTTCTCAATATGCTGAACTAACAGTATCGGGGAAAGCACTGATCTAGTGTTACAGCATCGCTGGTGCACACACCTTTACATCAGCTCGATCTCTTCCCCTTCCTGTGTCCCACCAGCTCATCAAATCTGTCTAGATGGCACATCTTGGACAAGGGAAACAAATACAGGGACAGTACAAATTGAACATTTCAATGGATGTAATACCCTGAAACCTAAGCAATTGCTTCAAAGAATTGTTTTGGTGATCTTGGGCAATGAAGCACACACACAGAGGCACACAGAAACATACACACACCCTAATTCTCTCGCTTTGAGCTGCATTTACATGGAGAGTCGCCACTTAGGCAAAATTACTGCACACACTCAGTTATCCGCTCGCAGAGCTCAACAGCCAAGTGGAGCCACGCAGGAAAGATGAATTATTCAGGAAAATAGTCTCAGCATAAAAGAAAACAGAACACACACAGAAAATAGCATAATGATGCTCTTCCAACAAGGACTGGCAGGAAATCTCACTTCAGATCAATTGCGAGATGTTGGATCATGGGTAATTTTCAAAGAGTGAGGAGTGGGACAGCGAGGGGTGGGGTACTGTGGGGACGCTCACATTACGGCAGTGTTCGATATCCTGCAGACTGCAGAGGAGACACAGGGCTTAGGGCAGTCCCACTGTCAGTCAGCACAGCAAATGTAAAGGAACCCCACAAAAAAAAAGTAGAGGCACTGACTAAATGAGGACGGGTGATCGAATTCACACTTTTCATTTGACCCTCAATGCTCTCTGAGGGTGCTTGCAACTCTAGGTTAATAATAATAATAATCCCTTACACTTACATAGCGCTTTTCTGGACACTCCACTCAAAGTGCATTACAGGTAATTGGGATCCCCTCCACCACCGCCATTGTGCAGCCCCACCTGAATGATGCGACGGCAGCCATAGTGCACCAGAACACTCCCCACACACGAGCTCTCAGTGGGGAGGAGAGCAGAGTGATGTAGTCAGTTCAGAGATGGGGATTATGAGTAGGCCAATGGGAAATTTGGCCAGGATGCCAGGGTAACTGCCCTACTCTTTTCAAGAAACACCCTGGGATTTTTAATGACCACAGAGAGTCAGGGCCTCGGTTTTATGTTTCATCTGAATGACAGTGCCTTTTTACAGTTTAGTGTCCCCGTCACTATACTGGGACATTAGGACCCACACAGACCACAGGGTGAGCTTCAGTGGGTTGCAGGGTGATCTAGCTGCTGGCGAATTCGGCAACCCTCCCAAATTCCCAGTTGAATCGATACACCCCCCTCTGAGAGCATCGTTGCCTGTTTTCCTTGTTTCCCTTAAGAAAGGGCACGACCATGTCAGCTGCTGAAGAAAAACCAAAGAAATCCCTTAAAATACAATAGACAGCAGGGCTCTCGAGTGCAGTGCTCATCTAACAGTCCCGTCTCTGTCTTCCGTTCCCAGGTGAGAGGGAGGCTGGGACAGTGCCCATGGGAAGGCCGCTCAGAGACAACCCGCCAGACAACACCCAAAACCACCCTGAAGTGGGTGTGGCCAAGGAGCTCTCAGCCAGTCCAGGCGACCAATCAGAAACCAGCACCACGCTGGACCTGACGAATGGCTTCTCCCCAGATGCACCCAAGCCCCCACTAGCCCCACATGACCTGGAGCTGCTCCCTAGCCCCACACTCCCCCCTCCTCCTCCTCCTCCTCCTCCGACCATGCCTCCCCCACTACCCCCCAGCGTGCCCCCCCCGCCTCCACCCCTCCCACCCAAGGACACCCCTCCCCGGCCCACCACCCTGCTGCTCAGACAGTCCAGCGGGCAGGAGAACGGGCCGCCCCCCAGGCAGGACCCGGACGTGGAGGAGGAGAAGAAGCTGCTGGAGGAGGAGCTGCAGAAGTGCATCGAGGATTTCCGGAGGATCCGCATCCCCCAGCTCTTTCCCGACCGGAAGAGGCACTGGCAGAGCGATCTGCTCCGGAAGTACAATGCCTAGTGGGAGTGGGAGTGGGAGTGGGAGGGGGGGGGTCTTGCATACAGCATGGCATCCCCTTGCTTAGCTCACCCCCCCGCAGCTCCCTGCTTGCTCTAGGGAAGACTCCAGGCTGCAGCTGGGGGCCAATCTGGGAATACTCTTCCTCTCGCCCCCTTCTCACAGGCAATCTTAGCTGTTCGTGCTTGTATCCCTCGTTCCCATGAAGAGGTCAGCTGCCATTCATTAGACAAAGGATAAAGTGCTGGTGCAGCACCAAACTCCTGTCGGGATCGTCCGGCCTCTCCGCACTCTGCCGCATAGAAGCTCAGCCCACTGGGCCAGCTCTGCTCTGCTCAGCTCAGGTCAGTGCGGACACAGCCTCCACTGTCCGGTCCAGCCGGACCACGAAGGCTCCTATTGTAAGGCACTCCGAGCCATTTCAGGTCTTACGGCACGCTTTCGCCGAAACGTCTGATGAGGCCGTGTGTAAATGAACTATATTAAACAGCATTTCAGACATCTCAAGTCTGCCGGAAATCAGCCTCTCCTCCCTGACGCCCGTAAGTGATCCATAATCCCCCGGAAATCGCCCCCCGCATTTTTCTCAAATCCGCTAAAACGAGCCGCATCTCTGTACAACGAAAGTATGCAAAGAAAGTGAGATTATTCAACTGGACTGGTGAGTTATAGTATTTATAGTGTAGTGTATTGCATATTTCATATAGTATCTATCAGCGAATTATTTAATTATATAGCTGTGATTTGTTTTTTTCAAGGGGGACTTTGAAAAAGTGCGCAAGTTTTCATGGGAGGGACGACCCCTCCCTCCCTGAAATCAGTTTTTTTTTAAAGTTGGGATGCAGATGACCGACTAATGCCACCGGCTTGAAAACACTGAGGATCCGAAGATGGCTTGTATACATAAATAAAACCTCATTTGACCAAACCGTTGTGCGATGGATGTCTATGCCATTTCTCTGTTATATTGTACTGACTCGGCACCAGACTAACGCTTGACACACTAATCCAAACAGGCCAGTTCTCCGAATTCCAGAGAACAGCCTAAGCGCACCATCTGATCCGTATGACGCAAACTGTCTGTCTAAAAAGTGCTGCTTCGCATCTGTTTATCTTACGCTCATACTTCAGCCCGCGCGGTGTTTGACCATCATCTGGCTGAAGCTCAAACGAGTTAAAGGCGTTTAAAATAAGATGTCGTTTTTTCGCTCAAAAAATGTATTAAATTTCACCCAAAGTTTTTTTTTTCTCATTGACGGAACATAAATTAGTCGGGTTCGGGGCAGGCAGCTCGAAAACTCGTTCGTGTTTCGCTCCCGATCAGATCGGTTTCTTCAGCTTTTGCTTTACGCTTCCGAGAGAAGAGAGTCGTTGATATTACTGACTTCTTATAGTTTATATTCCATACTGGACAATTAACGACTTCATCTGAATTACTAGTTCTCCTAATTAGTATGTGATACCACTGCTTCCAGCTCTCTGCTCGCTGACGATTAGAAATTCGCTTTAAAAAGCAGGTGGACCGCAGTTCTCCAGAACCAGGAGTGTACACCCCTGACCTGCAGAGACGAGTGGTGAGCAGGAAGACCGTAATCAGCTGCAGGGTCTGTATAAGTATTGTGTTAATGTGGAGATAAGGTCGCACGTTAAAAGCTGGATTCTTGCTGTTTCTCATTCTCAGAACAGAGGCTGAAATCGGCCGTGATAGCAAGAATACTTTTCAGGACAACTCTTGGTCACAGGCCACGCAGAAACATATACACCTAGATTCCTGGAAAAAATGCAGCCAAAATCCGAGTGGATTTCCAAAAATTTGGGAATCACATGGGAAAGGTGCTGCACAACTCTGTCCCATGTCCCGATTGTAGAAATTGCAGAGGACTTTTTTTTTAATTTGCATGTGTATTAGAAGCTTCTTCTCTTACAGCCTTTACTGAAAGATTGGCGTGTGTTGGTGTGAGCTCTGAGAGGTCACCTTGTCTAAACAGGTCCCAGCATTCATCAACCTGGGAGTGGAAAGGATAGCCACATCCCAGTAAAGAGGAGCTGTCCGTGTAGCGTAAAGATTGTATAAGAGAAACACCGCTGTATCTACACTACCAGCATGACTGATCCGTTGAGCCATGAATATTTCATTGATCTTTGCAGCAGCACATTGAAATAGCAGCTAGGTCTAAGACTGTAGCACACTGTCAACAGAAGTAATTTTCCAGTAGTGTTTACTAGATGTATGCAATTTACAACAAATAAACCATATCCTACCAAAAACATGTTCTGAAGATCTGTGTGTTTTGTTATTTTTGTCTGCCCTGCTACATCGTCCAAGCTCTGTCTCGGCAAACCCCGGCCTGACACACACGAGGTCACGCTGAGAGTGGAGGAGCGCACAAGTTCGTGTGTGAATTGCAGGATTAGCCCGCGTCGTTTTCTCTGCTTAAGCTGGTGGCTGCCTGCATCCTGGCAGCTGGCTCCGAACTGGTGGAGCTGGTGAGTCGAGTCACACCTCTGTCTACGTTAACTCGCGCCCAGGGCTGACCCCTTCCCCGCAGAAGAGATCTACACGGGGCCGTCCTCCAGCACAATAAGCCTTCGCCTTGTTTCAAGTCCGCTTAAAGTGTCTGAGGTCCCGAGGTACGCTCTCTTCACCTGCCGCCTGTTAACTGCTGCCTCATCTGGAAGGCCCTCCAAGGTCGGTGCTCTTGACCTACACAACCTGCTCTCCACACACATGCATGCATGCTCCATCCACGAACATCAGTGCCGGGACTTGAGAGTAAAAAACAAAAACTTTTAGCGATCTCTACCATGACTGTCCCAGTGGACACAAGGCACCACGTGTTAAATGCTGGCCGTGCTCCAGCCCAGGGTCAGGCTAACTAAATCCCTACCCTGGGCCTCTTGGCTCCTCTCTGACCGTCTCAGTGCTGCTGCTGTGGGCAGCCCGGCGGTGACAATGACCTCGGAGCATCCCGGGAACCACAGGGCAGACGAGCTGGAACAGGCCAGACAGACAGCAGCACTGCTGAGGGATCATGCTTCAGAGTGCTCTCTCTCTCCCCCCGGGAGCTCCTCTCCTCTCTTCCATGGTCAGCTGTTGCTGTATTGTTAACTGCTGCCTCATTCTGTAAAGTGCTCTGGTGGTGTTTTGAGTGTGATCGAGATGGTTAGAGAGAGCGTACCTATACTATCCCCAAGGGGCAATTTGTTTTACAGCAGTAGACAATATAAAGAAAATACACAAACAATATGCATGTACACGAGCCAGAGAATCAACTGTTGAGCAAGGTTATGGTCACAGGTATAAAACAGAACTCAAGCCTGTTTGTATTTAGATGGGGAAATCTGTATCTGCACTCTGAAGGGAGGAATTGGAGGGTTTAAAGAGCCCTCTAGGATGGAATATGCTTTACATAAGACTCGTAACTGATAGATGTGCGATAGATGTGAGATAGACAAGCCTCTACCTCAATTTGAGAGGACGTAGACCTTAGAGCTAGTAAGCCAATCAGATTACCCATGCACCAGGGGCGTAGCCCAGGCCCACCTGACTGATCCTAGGCCAACCCATCAGTCCAAAGAAATAAGATTTTTTCCCCTTGTTTGCGTAACATGATTTGCTTTTTAACGTTACGTGTTTGATTTTTTTCATCGTATGTGGCTCTGTTGGCTCTATTACAGCTATTGGCTCGCTGTATCTTTTGTGACCAATAAGAAATTTATGTAAATATAGTGGGGTGGTGCATGCGTAGCCGTCGCTTAATTGGCTATCGTTGTTGTCAGACGCTCTTAGAGCTATTTAGCGCTGGGTTTTTGGTTTATTAGCCAACATGGCGAAAAAATGCATACATCTACGTTTTTCAAAAAGCCGCCTGTAGATGACCAGACCATCTTGGTCTTAAGGAGAACAGCCTGGCTTCCTGAATACAAGTGTTTCATGAACAGAAAGGCGCAGTGCCAGTGTTTGCTTGTAGCAGTTCGATATATGCTCGACCTGTAGGAGTTGAGCACGAAGAGGTTCTAAAATTTCTCCTGTACACAAATTACAAGTTTTGGAATGCATGAATAACATTAAGATAATATTGACGGATAGATGCGAGTGTGGATTTTACAGATAACTATTCAGATCGCCTCTAAATGCCCTGCAGTATTTTTAAGTGAATGAATTTACAGAGCTAAAATACATCCAAAATATGTAATTGACGCTTTTATTAGCAGACCATTCTTGCAATTAAAGGTACAATGAATTGGTTAGCACTGTAACGCGACTATAACAATTCAGTGTTTATTCTTGTGGGAAGTCACGAATTTCCAAATTAGGTGTCTTTAGGTATCGAAAATAGAATACTAATTTCGTGGGTTTCATACAAGTTTAAAAGCATCATGAAGGATCAAACAAGATCTTCAAAACTTAATATTGTAATACCTTCGTCGTTTTTAATCTCATGGCGCCTCACTCGATATTACCCTTGGGGCGATGCATTTACTCCAACCTCTGAATCCCATAAGTGCACGTTCTTCTGGTATGTTATGCTCAAGTCCGCTGAATATTTAAAGACAAGTTAAAAGCTCCGTGAAGTTGCCCCCCCCCCTCCTACAGACAGCACAAACGATGAAACCCACCTAATTCGTTAGTTCTACGTTTGTGCCGGTTTGTGTAGTTGAAAGTAGCGTTTGTGCTGCTTTCGTTCCCGAGATATAGAGCGCTGGGTTTCCGGTAATCACGTGACCATGCACGGTGACTTTGACCTCCAGTGACCCCGTCTGACGACTTCAAGCGCTCTGTTACAGTTTAGCTCGTACCCGTAACATTTTAAAGACAATCAGTATCCATAAACATATGAGCCTCCTTACATGTGAATAATATTAAGACATGACTCATGCCAACAAGTTAACCATCTATGAAGTAAACCTGTGGTTGTATGTAAAATCACCGTGATTGTAAGATCTATGGTTTTTATTTTCTCAGGCACGTTTTCCTTTTCTTTCCCTACCGTGACACGCTGTTGCCAAACGCGTACCTTTGCGATATCATCGCGACAAGACTTCCGCAGCATGTTATGATAGGGACCCCATGTATATCGCATGTATATCGCGGCAGTGTATATCACGACTGGAGCCTTGCTTCCATGCCACCCTGGCACCGCTGTCGCAACAAAGGTCTCATTTCAGAACTTGATATACCCAGATAGGACGTGTCGTGATATAGACATGGGGTCAGCATATCCTGTCAGGGTATGTCCTATCGCAACATATGGATTCCATGTCGTGACATGGGGCGGGACATTTTTGCCAGGATATGTCATATCGCGATATGGGGGCTCCATGTCGCGACATGGGGGCGGGGCATTTTTACCGGGGTATGTCATATCGCGATATTGGGGCTCCATGTCGCGACATGGGGGCGGGGCATTTTTGCCGGGTATGTCATATCGCGATATGGGGGCTCCATGTCGCGACATGGGGGCACAGCATTTTTGCCGGGTATGTCATATCGCGATATGGGGGCGGGGCATTTTTACCGGGGTATGTCATATCGCGATATTGGGGCTCCATGTCGCGACATGGAGGTGGGGCATTTTTGCCGGCGTATGTCATATTGCGATATGCGGGCTTCATGTCACGACATGGGCGTGGGGGGCGTTGTATGTGGACGCCATATCGCGACTTAATGTGAACTTAATATGGACAGTGGCGCCATGACAGTGATGCGCCAGTCGCAATGGGTTTTGCGATGTGATCGTGATGCGCGCACTCCTATCGTGACGTGCTATCGGAGTCGTGAACGCGCTGTGGATGCCATGACATTCTTTGTCTGCTATTCAGTTTTGACCTCGATGCGACTTAGATTGACCAGTAATTGTAAACCAATGCATGTGTTACTGTATATCCAGCGTGCTCATACAGCACACACGGTTACCCGGGGCTACAGTATTTGGACCGAGAAGAACATCCATCACCTGTGTATCTACATGTTCTCGGAACTTCCGCTGTGGCGCTTTGCCCAATCAGAGTGTCGATTCTCACTCTTCACCCAATCGCGGCCCGACCTGTTCGGGGGTTTAGCCAATCACGGGTCTGAGAGCTGTTCAAGCCAGCAGCGCCAGGTGGATCGGCTTGTTTA